TCTCGTAATCACGGTAATTATGATTTGGTGTGAACGCACCTTCACTTCTCGTGTTCCGGTCTCCAGAAACCCATGTTAAAATGAGAAAGAAAGAAAAAAACAGCAACAGCAGTAACCGAAATAAGCTTAAGGAATTCCTGTAAAGTACTTGTTTTGTGTACCAGCAAATCTGGTCATGTCCGGCGCTGTATGCCTTGCAGAAACGATGACAAATGAAAACGAGCATGGTTTGCAGCATGGTTACGTTAAAATACCTGTATATACTGTATGTGCCCTCATCTGTTTTCAATGCAGCTAACCTCGCATCACTTCATGTCATCTTCCTACTCATTAAATTATGACAGGTGAGTTACTGTGAAAAGACGGTCATTGCGACACTGTAAAGTGATGAAACTATGCCGCCATGTGCTTTTTAAAACCATTTTCATAGGTTTAACATTATATTATCAGCTCAGAAAATAAGTAAATTTGACTAGAAACACCAGAGACCGTAAAGCATCGTTCCAGTCGGGCGAGACTTCATCCCTATTTATAACCCACAAACTAAAGTGAGCTCCGCAACCTTTATTAAATCGACCCCCAAGTTGGGAACCACTGTGAATAGTTACCAGTTTGAATCATTCTGAAACACTTCCCTCTATAGAGATATAAAGGTTTCAGATATATAAATGTTTCATTCATTCCCCCGCATACCATCATAGAATGGAAGAATGCAGCGAAGTCCTCCACTCTCGCCTCGAGAGGAGCACAGACTGGGCCAATGCATTCTTCCCCAGCATTAATGCCAGAGCGGACTCACCATTTGATCCTTTGTGACGGGGCTGCCGGTCCAACTGAAATTTCCTGCTTGCTGACTAGAGAAGCCGAGCTCTGTGTGGCTGTTCCAGCGAGGACTCAGTCATCCCGACACTAATGGAATAGCCCAGCACTTACAATCACCACACAGAAGCTTCTCAAAGAACCCAGAACGACCGGCCAAACGGCCCCATCACCCAGCTCTAATCTCCCTCAAAACAGGCACATTAAAAGAGAGCAGCTGACAGCCATAATAGAGAGAGGGGGCCGGGGAACAATACTGCCCTATCCACCGCATGCATGTCTTACCGTTGGGTCTTATTGTGGCCCTGGCTGGGAGAAGATTTTTGTATAATAGCTTCCTTTCCTGTTAGAGGAGAGGGAGATTTCTCGTCTCTCATCACTCCACCTCTTTATTCTTGCTAGTTTTTGGCTCGGTTTTGGGAACGCCAGTCAGGATGGGTCAGGGAGTCGGAGGCAGTCGCTCTGACTCTTCACGTTATGTGGGCGTTGCAATATTCACGGTCTGCTTTAAATGGAAAGGAATAATACGTCTTGTTATATAAAGCACCAGAGAATAAGTTATCAAGGGATTTTTCAAAGCTGTGGAAAGCATTTATAGGGCAGCCATTAGATTTTTAACAGTTCCACTCCACGGAAGGTAGGCTAATAATTAAGTCCTGTGAATCTACTAAAGATCATTTAATATATGTTATTTTAAATAATAACAAAATGAAATCGCGAGAGAATCGCAAAGACACTTCCACGATTGTTTTAATTGTTAGTATACACATGCAGACTGACGTCTTTAGCCACTGTTACATTTTTGCCAGTTTTCAGCGTCTCATCAGCCTGATCTCAAAGGAAATGAAGCCATTTTACAAGGTGGCGATTTCGTATGAATTTGTACGATGTGAATCATACAAAATGTAAGATTTTTTAGAAAAAGGCCCGCCCCTAAACCGTCTCTGGGGTGTGAGCAGATCATACAAAAACTCAGGCTACATACAGTAGGCCTATGAGATTGTGCAAATCAATATGAATTATCCAGCAATTTGCCAAAATGTTACGAATTGCCATGTCTCAATGTGCTAATGTGCTGTGACAACTTAAAAAAAAAAGTTTGTGCGTCCGAAAATGATTGCTATCTGAGTTGGTACTACATGTGAATTTGAACAAACTTCGCGACCGTTAAAAAAAAGCATGTTCTATATATGAATATGGGTAGTATGAATGCAATTCGGATGTACTATTTTCGCCATTTTGTTACCGTTACATGACCTACCAGCGTCAATTGCGCTGCTTCACTGCCATTTATCTTCTCTCGTAGCTTCATTCGTGTCCATTGAATGCGGGTTTCAAAATCTCACTGGAAGTAGCAGATCATCCGGGTACTTTCCACCTACAGTTCTTCAAATACTATGAATTTGGGCATACTACTCTAGGTGCGTCCCAAATCGTGTACTTGTGCACTATTCTATGACGTTTTGTAGTATAAATAGTGCGAGTAGTGAGTTCACACTGAAAATTCCAAAAAGGAAAAGTGCACTTTAAATACCCGGATGATGCACTTAAATAACCGAAAAAATTAAGTGTGGAATGTCGGACACTTCATGCACTCAATTGTCGCAGCTTTAATTACGTACCGAAGGGGGAGGGGCTATGAGACTCCAATTATGAATGACAAAATAACCTTATATAATTCATCCTATACATGGTTGAGTACATAGTGTATAAGTACATCGTGTATGAGTGCATAGCGTGTCATTTGGGACGCAGCTTCTGCGTACTGTTTTCACATACTATATAGTAGGGAAGCATTAGATCTGCGTAGCTGATTTAAAGAAGTACTCCAAAATCTACCAACAGCATTGTCAATTGATAATGCACAATTAGTCAAATAATTTTTAATAAATATTGTGTACAAAAGTTAAATGTTATATGCATCTGCTATTCAAAGGCCAATATAAGTTAATTAGTTATTGCTTTAAAACAGTAAAAGTTTAAATTGACAAATAAAATACTACTACTATTAAGAAGAATGATAATGATGAAGAGATGTTTCCCTTTTTTCCCCTTCAGCCTCCTGTCCATTTTTGTTGTCCATGCAAAAGGAGTTAAAAATTGCAATGTCCCGTTACTCTTAATTCATCTTATTAGAAAAAGATAAATTAGATAAATGTGTAAAGGAATGATGGATTTCTTTGTTCTTGTCTGTCCTGCTCCAAGAACAATGACTGCAAATAGAGTGAAGAGCTGCAACAAAACCTAACAGCGAGGCACAGAAGAGGCTTGCTGATTTAAGGTAGCAGGTGAAATACGATTACAGCTGATGAGAGCCAAGGGGCGGCAGGAAACCGAATGATGAAGCGCAAATACCGCAGTCTCTCTCATCAGGACCGCTGGCCGGGGGAGGGGAGACAGACGAATGAGACGCATCCTCCCTCACTGCAGCACCACAGACAGTGATGGAGTGCCACAATATCACAACTACAGATTGAGAGATAGATGGGCAAGTGGGGCAGCATGAGAAAGATAAACGGAACAGAGAGCGAAGGATCAGGTTGATTTACAGGCTAGCACGAGATGGTGGTTTTACAAGGCCAGTTAAACGACTCTCATCGTAAAACATACTCTAAATCAAACAATAGCTTGGGTTGATTCTTATTAGACAATTAAGTAAATAAAATGTTAAAATGATTAAAACTCTAAAAGCTGATATGAATAATTGCTACAAGTGAATTTAGGCATCTCAACATAATACAGTACAAAAAAATAAATGCATTTTTAAATTTGCTAAATATAACATTTAACATCGTTCATTCATTTATTGTTGTTATTACACACATTGAGTTAATACATTATATTTCATATAAGAAAACATTGAATTTTTTTAATTACCTGAGGGCTAGATGATAAATAAACAATTAAATAACCATCCATCTATTGGTTAACCAATATATCATGCATCCCTACTTGAGAGCAGGGTTGCCATGTTTTCACAACAAAACCCACCAAATCGTTACTCAAAACTAGCCCAATCACATTTCAAGAGGGGTCCCCGTTAAAACTCGCGTTCCGGGGATAAAATACACATTATTGGGGTTGCTTCAACCTGCGGCAACAGTGTTAAAGTAGCCAAATTACACGGGAAAACTGCGGACTTGGCAACACTGCTTGAGAGTATCCTTCATCGAATTTCTGAGCATTACATTAAATTACACTTGAAATGTTTCTGTGGACTTTAGCAATAATAAATGTCTACACCATGATGAGTCAGACCATTAAACCTCTACATGACCTCAAGAACAACCATCTCATGTGCTTTAATAGTATCACTAAGTAGATTTACAGAAACTTCCTAATACATCAACACTTTCTTGCTCATTGAATGGCAGTCTCGAGTGGACCTAATGAAATGTCCCATTGCTCTCCAACGGCTTTATTAAACTCTTTCTAGAGTTTCTAGAATTCTAGCATCCGCGCAAATACAAAGTGAGAGGTCACATGTGAATGGAAATCATCGGATAGCGCCAGCACAACCTTATCCCAAGGAAACCCAACAACAATTTCATGAGCGCTGTTCTTCTAGGCACATAAAAGGCCACAGGTCCCTCATGTATCAGAAAACACCAGCAGCACAGAGCTATTGTTCTCCCTGACATACAACTGATATTTATACATGGACTGTCAGCGCGTAACAAAGGCTCAGGTTTCTCTAGGTTGCATGTGGATCCTTTGTTCTCTTTGGAAAGCGAGAGAAAGAGAGATGGTACAGCAAAACCCAATCAACAGATAGACAAAATGGGACAACAATGACAGATACTGAGGGATCTTTCACAAATACAAAACATGCCATTGCTGGGAGTTGACGGATGGCAAGTCCTAGGAAAGGTCACAATGCAGGAGACAAAAATGGAAAAACCAATGAGATGCACTTTAAACCAGATATCTGAGCTTCTCTACTGTTTTAAGAGCAACTCCCAAAAGAAAAAATGCTTAATTCTTCAGGAACAAGGACAAGTGTATCCCTAGCTAAAGCCACCAAGACTTGGATTTAAGTTATCTGGATAAAGATGAGAACATTCCTCCAGGGCTGGATAAAATCACCTTGTAAACAAGCAGAAAAATGAACATCCAGTCTTTAATCTGACAAGGAACTAGTTCTTTTCAGCTTCGCATTACCTTCAAGCACTGTTTCCTACCTTTGTGCTTGCCAAAAGAGCAGGGTAGCTTGGCAACAGGAACAAAGGCAAAGTCAATGGAGTCCAAAGGGGTAAGATGCCACGGCCCCCCTTCAAACACATCCAACCAACCTTGTGAAAGAAAAAACACATTTAGGAGGCAGTCGCTTCGCTCAAAGCAGGACAAATGGACTCATGTTGGTGTCCGTCACTGGGAAACCTTGAGCTAGACCAGACAGGAGGAAGAGAAAGTAGCAACAGGTGCTTCAATCAAGCATGGCTTCTGAACAGCTGGCTTCAGTCTGACATTGAAGACTTAATCTTACTGTAAAAAATAATTGTGATTTTAACGGTAAAAATACTGTAAAATGGTGTTTAGCATTTGTGAACGTCACAGCAAACCTTCTATATAAGTATGTTTGTTCTCAGCTTGAGAAAAAGCTGCTTGTGATGAGTTTTGGTTCATCATGTGACTTTCTTACCACCTGCTTTTGGTGGTTATCAGAGTATTACAAAGGTACTAAACAGATTTCAGAACTTCAATATCCATAAAACCAAAAATGTTGCTAGGCCTACTGTATTTTTTATGGTAAATTCTGGCAACCACAGCTTTTTTTCTTCATCTATCTATCTATCTATCTATCTATCTATCTATCTATCTATCTATCTATCTATCTATCTATCTATCTATCTATCATCAACAAGTTATACTATGTGAAATATATGTGATTTAAATATAATTTATTTGTATCTATCTATTGTATCTCTCACACTCTCTAACCTGAGCAAAAAAATAAACATGAACACAGGCTGATGTACAATAGTTATTTAAGATTTTTTTATGTACATTTTTATGTTTCATGTCTCCAACACAGAGAATGCTGATAAATGAAGCTATAAAAAAAGCTTTAAATCAAAGCACGCACACACACAAAAGTCCATAATTAATACTTTTACAATTTTTTTTTTTTTTTTACATTACATACATTTACAGTATTTGTGGTATTTTGCCCATTTCTTTTTCTTTTTTTACACAAAATGTGACAAGCAATTATTGTACCTCTTACTAACCACGGACCTTAATGATGGTAGACGCCATGTTTAATTTTTCGTGAATGAAAACGAGACTGTGAGGGATAAAAACTGTAATTTTCAGAAAAAAAAAATTTGACACCAGGATTAACAAAGAAAAGAAATAAGTATTTAAAAATGTTGTGTCAGCAGAACATTCATTTAACTTTTGAAAATGTTTAATCAAATATAGTGTCTACATAATGTCCATTGCGTGAAGCAGACGTATGTTTTTGATTTGCATTAACGGGATGATTTGGATTTATCTTTAGAGCATTTCTTATGCCAGCCAACATGAGCGAGAATACTTCCGACTAGCTTTAATTGTGCTAGTAATAATTCATCTTGAATTATATGTTTCCCTGAAGTAAGAATTGGCGATAAAAAGGAACTGAAAAACACTGCAGGATTTGGGGAATATTTAAGGCTAGTTAAAGAACATGAGCATGAAATTTCTCAACATTACTCAAATTATCCAACAAAACAATGCGTTTGGGGAGTTTGAAGTGTCTGTGGAAATCAGAGCGGACACACCGCCCTCTATTGGTTAAGGCATTTCAATTCTCAGTTTAGCACCATAACAGAACAGCATGCAGAATGTTATGTACATTTTTATGTTTCATGTCTCCAACACAGAGAATGCTGATAAATGAAGCTATAAAAAAAGCTTTAAATCAAAGCACGCACACACACAAAAGTCCATAATTAATACTTTTACAATTTATTTATTTTTTTTACATTACATACATTTACAGTATTTGTGGTATTTTGCCCATTTCTTTTTCTTTTTTTACACAAAATGTGACAAGCAATTATTGTACCTCTTACTAACCACGGACCTTAATGATGGTAGACGCCATGTTTAATTTTTCGTGAATGAAAACGAGACTGTGAGGGATAAAAACTGTAATTTTCAGAAAAAAAAATTTGACACCAGGATTAACAAAGAAAAGAAATAAGTATTTAAAAATGTTGTGTCAGCAGAACATTCAATTTAACTTTTGAAAATGTTTAATCAAATATAAAAGCCGCCCACACACAAAAAGTCCTAAATTAAACTTTTTCAAATTTTTTTTTTTTTTTACATTACATACATTTACAGTATTTGTGGTATTTTGCCCATTTCTTTTTCTTTTTTTACACAAAATGTGACAAGCAATTATTGTACCTCTTACTAACCACGGACCTTAATGATGGTAGACGCCATGTTTAATTTTTCGTGAATGAAAACGAGACTGTGAGGGATAAAAACTGTAATTTTCAGAAAAAAAAAATTTGACACCAGGATTAACAAAGAAAAGAAATAAGTATTTAAAAATGTTGTGTCAGCAGAACATTCATTTAACTTTTGAAAATGTTTAATCAAATATAGTGTCTACATAATGTCCATTGCGTGAAGCAGACGTATGTTTTTGATTTGCATTAACGGGATGATTTGGATTTATCTTTAGAGCATTTCTTATGCCAGCCAACATGAGCGAGAATACTTCCGACTAGCTTTAATTGTGCTAGTAATAATTCATCTTGAATTATATGTTTCCCTGAAGTAAGAATTGGCGATAAAAAGGAACTGAAAAACACTGCAGGATTTGGGGAATATTTAAGGCTAGTTAAAGAACGTGAGCATGAAATTTCTCAACATTACTCAAATTATCCAACAAAACAATGCGTTTGGGGAGTTTGAAGTGTCTGTGGAAATCAGAGCGGACACACCGCCCTCTATTGGTTAAGGCATTTCAATTCTCAGTTTAGCACCATAACAGAACAGCATGCAGAATGTCAGCAGCTGTGGGAATATGCTGACGGATAATAAAAATCTCTCGGACTATGAATTAGATCCCAAGAGGTCTAATTTTCAGAAAAAAAAATTTGACACCAGGATTAACAAAGAAAAGAAATAAGTATTTAAAAATGTTGTGTCAGCAGAACATTCAATTTAACTTTTGAAAATGTTTAATCAAATATAGTGTCTACATAATGTCCATTGCGTGAAGCAGACGTATGTTTTTGATTTGCATTAACGGGATGATTTGGATTTATCTTTAGAGCATTTCTTATGCCAGCCAACATGAGCGAGAATACTTCCGACTAGCTTTAATTGTGCTAGTAATAATTCATCTTGAATTATATGTTTCCCTGAAGTAAGAATTGGCGATAAAAAGGAACTGAAAAACACTGCAGGATTTGGGGAATATTTAAGGCTAGTTAAAGAACATGAGCATGAAATTTCTCAACATTACTCAAATTATCCAACAAAACAATGCGTTTGGGGAGTTTGAAGTGTCTGTGGAAATTGGGGTAGAGTCTGGAACCACAGCGCTCTGAGAATCTGCAAAGAGAGAAAAACTCGTTTTACTTCTGAACTTTTAAAAGTAATTGCAATACCAACATGAAATAGCATTTACAACACATTGAACTTACATGATGTGTCATATTTCTAAGTGAAAACAATATTTAGTGGCATAATTACAGTGTGGGGTGAGAGTTTATTTCATCTGTCAGGATTTGAACGGATTGTAAAAGCTGATACGAATGGGAAAATGCATAGTCAGTTAGTCATTATCACGAAACGACTGACTGTACATGATTATGCTTAATTCATGACTATGTTTCAAATAAGTAACTGGAGTAACTGACTAATGGCATGTCAGCACTGAAGACTATTTTCATTGCTAATCTTCAAACAAACAAACAAACAAACAAAATATGTACAATTAAATCTCTAAATACAAAAAATATTGAAAAGATAAACCAAACAAACAATCCAAAAAAACATAAATTACATCAAATAATTTCCATACAAAAAATTAATAAAAATAAAGGATATATAAAATAAATAATATTCATACAAAAACATTAAACCCCATGTAAAATTAAATAAAAATCAAACAAAGTCTCCATATAAAAAAAATTAACAATCTTCATACAAAAAAAATTAAACTAAAATCTATATAAAATGAAATAACAAATCAAATAATCTTCATAAAAAATATAAAAAATGGATATAAATCTATATCAAATAAAATAATTAAATAACCTTTATACAAGAAAACTAAAAACTATGTAAAGTTAAACAAGAAAATGTTAAAAGGAGAAATTAAATAATCTCCATCCCAAAAAAAAACCCCAATTAAATCTATAAATATAAAAAAAAAGAAAAATAATACAATAAATAAAATAAAATCTATTAAAACAAAGTATTCCAAATGATAAACCAAACAAAATCTTCATACAAAAACTAAATAAATACACAAATATTAATTTAATTAACCAATTAATTTGGGTTTATTGGTAATTATATGAAAATACTGGACCACAACTATGTAGTTGACCAATTAGAATCAAGTACTACAGAGAACTGAGTAATCATTTCTCGTCACCCATGTAGCATTAAACCATCAGAAAAGCTGTTTCAGAACCGGTCACTGAAATCAAGCATTTAATAGAATAACATGCACAGATGACTTGTGCTCAATAAGACCGGGGATTCATTGAGAAAGGAAAAGGTGTCTGTTTGAATTTCATGTTGAATTCTCAAGCAGATGTAATGTGATGATGAGCTACACTCTACCTGCAGTCTTGCTCTGCTGCCCTTTTCCCTTCTTCTTCTTCTTGTCCTTCTTCTCCTTGGGTCTGGCCAGCTGTAGCAGGCGGCTGGGGATCTGGCTCTGCGCCTCGCTGTTCTGGCCTTTCTGGCTTGAATTGGAGGAGAATAGACTGAGGTTCTTCCCTTTGCGTTTGGAGTCCATGCGGGACAGGAAGTCTCTGGCAGATGGAGACGAGGAGAGCTCCACCTCTGAGGGGTCACGGTCCAATGAACCAGTGCTCTGGAACTTTGAGTCCTCAGACGTTGTGGAAGGGGTCCGGTTCTTCCTTAATTCCTGCAGATGATGGTGCAGAAATTCAAATAAAACTTGTTAAAAATTGTTTAGACATTTGAAAAACACAACCTCTTTTTTTGCCAAAGAAGTTGTTACTGCGAGTGCTATTAAGTTTCGAGTCATTCTGAGGGTTCAGGAAAAAGGAACTATATTAAAGATGAAGATCAAGATGAATATAATTACATAATGGAATGTGCAGGCCTTTTGTTTTCACATTATTACAGAACAGTTATGTAATTTTGGGGCGGAATGGAAAAGATTAGTGATTTTCTCAACTAATCAACATTACATAGTGCGAGAGTACTGTACCATCACAGAATAATGACATGCAAACGCATCTTCACCATATTTTCCATTGAGATTATATAGAAAACTGAAACGCTGATGAAACATTGGGCAAAAGATTTGTTTTCAGTCCTCGCTCTCACGTCATTCCAGATCCTTGTGACTTTCTTTCGTGGAACGCAAAAGGACAAATTAAGATGGTGCGAGTCACTCTTTTCCATATAATGAATGAAGACCAAAGCTTTAACGCTTCAAAGTCTTCTGACTCGAAGGAATGATTCAGTTATGCATTAAATATCACTTTCTTTCATGAACACGCTAAGGCAACATTAGGGCGGATTTCCAGTGAATAATGATTCAAATTTAAATTTGTTCCTCACAAAAAGCTATTCAGAAGACTTGGAATATATAGTACCATTCAAAAGACTTTTATTCAGAAAGGATGCATTAAATTGATCAAAAGTGACAATAACCTCTGTTTGTCTGATCAGCTCGGTCTCTCTCTGCACTTGCTCTCGTTCTCTCTCCAGTCTCTTCTGGCTGTCTCTGAGCCGCGCCAGGTCTCTCTGATACTCTTCTTTTTTACTCTGCAGGTCTTGCTTCTCCTCTTCCAGCTCTTTCCATCTCCTCTGCACCTCTTCATCTTGGGTCTGCTGCTGCGACTCCCTCTGGGCCAGTTCCCGCTCCCGCGCTTCCCACTCTTTTTCCCTGCGCCTCCTCTCCTCGGCGTGGGCAGCCTGCTGCTTTTGGAGGCTGGCGACTTCTTGCCGCTGCTTCTCCAGGCTCCGCTGTTTCTCCTGCTCGATTAGTGAGCTGGGCCGTGATGAGGAGGAGGAAGAGGAGGAGTTGAGGGATGAGATGGATGGGTGGCGTGAAGAGGGCTGGGGGCGTTCGTTGAGGGCATGCCGCTGGTCCTCGATGAAGGTGTCTTGCTGGATAACAACAGCCTATGTTGAGGGTGAGCAAAGAAAGCGGTTTTAATCGGCATGCAAACAGGAAAGACATAAAGCTGTTAAACTGCAAAGGCCTTGAAGTGAGAATATTAATGTGCGAAACCAAATTTCAAGTGAAATAGGCCCATCTGGTGGCCAGAGAGCACCTGTCTTGGGAAAGGCAGACAATAACCCACTTAACAGTGGTACAAATCTATCAGAGTGCATCTTAATATACCACAGTGCACTCCGCTTGATTACAAGCCTGCAAAATAAACCCCTGCATTTGGAAATTTCATTTCCTTCTGTCGTGCTGCAGAGGAGAGCTGCTGGCCTGAACATCAGAGAGCGAGAAATAAGACAAAAAGAAAATGACTCACCTGTAATGTGTTCAGCAGGTCATGGAGCTGCGCGACGCTCTGAAGAACCTGCTGTGGGAGGATAAAAAGAAAAATGAAATCGGCCACATCTCTATAAGCTGAGATGCAGATAGCTAGTCTAATTTCTTGTCACTTTATATTTTAACCTTTTATAATTGAATCTACATATATAAAATATTTATAATAGTATATGAACACATTTGTTTTATATGCATATGCATTTACATAATATATACATACATAATTATAAAAAAAATATATATATATACTTTATTTGTATTAATAATACAATATAACATGCATATAATACTAATATATTTATATAATTTAAAATATGAAACAATTTATATTTAAATATGTAATACTTTATCAATTATTATTTATAATAATTACATAAAAAATATAACATAGTACACTTTTTAGTGTACCATTTTAGTACACATTGAAAATCCTAAAATAAATTAATAAAGATTTTTATTGATCTTACAATGTTTTAAATTAATGCAGCTGTGTGTGTGTGTGTGTGTTACTGATATAGATCGATTCAGAAAATAATACAATCCTGACTCAAACTCATGTTGCACATCTTAACCACTAAACCACAGCTTGGGAAGGAAATCAAATTAAGTGTAAATACGGCTAGGGTGTCTGGTCATGGTACTGAAACCAATTCCCCTTTGACCTGATCCTGAAATCTGATCTGAGCTGTCTCTAAACAGAAAAACTTACCTCGTTGTTCCTCTTGAGTAGGAGCAGGGGGTTGGCATTGCTTGCCTGTGGGAGAGAGAGGCAGTCACATGGTCAGTGCACTGGGTAAGAGGCTACCGTACATAAATCAATAATAAGCAATCCATGTGCTCTTCGACAGGGTACCGCAGGACCTGCCGGGAATAAGACACTGTGATGACAGGTCTCATTACTCTGCTGCTGTAAAGCAGAGGACAGTCTTAATGTGTCCTCATTATTAAGTTACTATACAGTTATGTTCTGTGATGAGAGTGTGTGTAAACCTCCAGTTCACTTCAGGTAATGAGTGCTACAGCAGACATATATTCTAATGGTTTGAGCATATGGTGATACACTGATGACTAACGAATTAGATGGTAATGGGAACACATCTTAGAACAGCACTTGTAATAGGAGTGAACAAAAGCTTTTAATAGTGTACTTATAAAATATGCATATACAACAAATGCATTTATTATATCAAATATTAAACAGATTCCAAAAATGTATTTTTATTAATTTGACCAGTTATGCCATCTGCACTGTTAATTTGCTGATTTGTCCAGAAATAATGTAGAATCTTAAATATTTTTCATATTTCAAGATTAAAATTAGACTTCTGCAATAATTTTAACTAACTTTATCTTTATATAGCATATCAAATGCATTTTTTAACGTATGCACAAAATAAAATAAAAAAATAATAATTGAAAAATATTATGAATTTAACATGATTTATATAAAAATATATATAATTTTTTTTTGCTTAAATATTTCTTAATGTTTTTATGTCAAAGTGTCCAGACTGAAATAAGACATTTGGACTAATGTAATACTTTATCAATTATTATTTATAATAATTACATAAAAAATATAACATAGAGAACCATTTTAGTACACATTGAAAATCCTAAAATAAATTAATAAAGATTTTTATTGATCTTACAATGTTTTAAATTAATGCAGCTGTGTGTGTGTGTGTGTGTGTTACTGATATAGATCGATTCAGAAAATAATACAATCCTGACTCAAACTCATGTTGCACATCTTAACCACTAAACCACAGCTTGGGAAGGAAATCAAATTAAGTGTAAATACGGCTAGGGTGTCTGGTCATGGTACTGAAACCAATTCCCCTTTGACCTGATCCTGAAATCTGATCTGAGCTGTCTCTAAACAGAAAAACTTACCTCGTTGTTCCTCTTGAGTAGGAGCAGGGGGTTGGCATTGCTTGCCTGTGGGAGAGAGAGGCAGTCACATGGTCAGTGCACTGGGTAAGAGGCTACCGTACATAAATCAATAATAAGCAATCCATGTGCTCTTCGACAGGGTACCGCAGGACCTGCCGGGAATAAGACACTGTGATGACAGGTCTCATTACTCTGCTGCTGTAAAGCAGAGGACAGTCTTAATGTGTCCTCATTATTAAGTTACTATACAGTTATGTTCTGTGATGAGAGTGTGTGTAAACCTCCAGTTCACTTCAGGTAATGAGTGCTACAGCAGACATATATTCTAATGGTTTGAGCATATGGTGATACACTGATGACTAACGAATTAGATGGTAATGGGAACACATCTTAGAACAGCACTTGTAATAGGAGTGAACAAAAGCTTTTAATAGTGTACTTATAAAATATGCATATACAACAAATGCATTTATTATATCAAATATTAAACAGATTACAAAAATGTATTTTTATTAATTTGAATGGGAACACATCTTAGAACAGCACTTGTAATAAGAGTGAGCAAAAGCTTTTTAATAGTGTACTTATAAAATATGCATATACAACAAATGCATTTATTATATCAAATATTAAACAGATTCCAAAAATGTATTTTTATTAATTTGACCAGTTATGCCATCTGCACTGTTAATTTGCTGATTTGTCCAGAAATAATGTAGAATCTTAAATATTTTTCATATTTCAAGATTAAAATTAGACTTCTGCAATAATTTTAACTAACTTTATCTTTATATAGCATATCAAATGCATTTTTTAACGTATGCACAAAATAAAATAAAAAAATAATAATTGAAAAATATTATGAATTTAACATGATTTATATAAAAATATATATAATTTTTTTTTGCTTAAATATTTCTTAATGTTTTTATGTCAAAGTGTCCAGACTGAAATAAGACATTTGGACTAACTTTATGCATCTATATTGCTTTTTTTTATTTATACACATACACACACACACACACACACACACACACACACACACACACACACATATATATTTTTTTTATTTATTTTTTTTTTAGATTTAGACATTAAATAGAGAGAGATATTCTAAAAAAGTAATTACAATTCATAATTTGTTTTTCCTTTGTTCAGCTCATGGTGAAACCATGTTATTTTCACTTCAAATGCTTCCTTTTTTCTTGTCTTTTTCATGCAGCAATGTTACTCTGCCAAAAAAAATATTTTTTCCACATCATGAAACACATCATTTTTGACCCGTTTGTACCTTCTTTAGAATGCTGTCTGACTCAGTCCTGCGGAGCTCTGCAGAGTCTTCCGTCTCCTCTCTGTCTCCATCTGCAGGAGATCAAACACAATCAGACTCACCTGGAACAAACACCCACGCACACGAGTGGCATCGCAAAAACGCTCTCACGCACACTCCCACGTGGAAAGCACACCCACCTTTACTCTTTGAGATGTTCATCTGGTGACTATCAAAGCCTCCGAAGGTTTCCGCCCGTCGTGGCAAAGTCACGGGACCCGCCGCACATACGCCATCCTGCACTGCTCCTCCTAGACTGTCGTTTACCAGAACCTGTAATGTCTCAACTACACACATTCACACAGAAGTTAAACATGGAATATGGTAACTAATTCAAGTAAACACTAAATGGTAGATCAAATTTCAAATTTCAAATTTCATGTCTGGGCCATATTTCACTCCAAAATCAAGAAACGGAAACAATCATATTTTGAATAAAATAAGATAAAAATCACTTTTGATTTACAAATAGCTTTTCTTTTGAGTTTTTGTAAGATTTTGCCCAATAATGTTATAGAAAAATCAAACACTATCAAAAAGCTCACAAAAGGCTAAGAGGAGACAGTAATCAATACTCTTTCCCGTTCTGCTCCTCCTAGACTGTCGTTTACCAGAACCTGTAATGTCTCAACTACACACATTCACACAGAAGTTAAACATGGAATATGGTAACTAATTCAAGTAAACACTAAATGGTAGATCAAATTTCAAATTTCATGTCTGGGCCATATTTCACTCCAAAATCAAGAAACAGAAACAATCATATTTTGAATAAAATAAGATAAAAATCACTTTTGATTTACAAATAGCTTTTCTTTTGAGTTTTTGTAAGATTTTGCCCAATAAGAAACAACTGATGTTTATAGAAAAATCAAACACTATCAAAAAGCTCACAAAAGGCTAAGAGGAGACAGTAATCAATACTCTTTCCCGTTCTTGACCTGCAACCTTAAAGCAATCCATTATCTGTTCCTGCCCTGCGGATTCAGATCAGCTTTACCCATTGATTCTGCCCATGTACTATACTGCATGAACTGTGACAAGCACTATCTATCACTCCCACATTCAAAGCCAAAGTGTCTTCTCAGCACTTTCAAGATCTTTCTCACTAAGTACACTCTAAAATGCCATTCGGGAATATCATTTACTCAATTTTCATTGGTGCTTTGTCACTTTCAATGGAAGTAAGTTTTAGAGCCATTTTAGAGTAGTTTTAAAGAAGAAATGTTAAGTTTGTATTTTTTGTTCAATCACGTGCATGAATTTTTCCTTATAGCTGAAGCATGTAATTTCTGTCACTAACAGCAATTTTGTTTTCAAACAGGTTTCCACAAACACTTCCCCATCTGCTATTGGTCAGTAAACACATAGCTCCGTGCAAAACAAACAGCAATGTTTTGATGGCACCACAGAGCAATAGCCGTTTACAATATTTGCGGGCATAAACCTAGAATAGCTTACTTATAGGTGCCTCTGCACATTGATTTAAAATTAAATAAAGATAAAATAACAAAAATAAATTTTGCAACAATTATATAGTGACTTTTCCCATACTCAGTCTTAGCCACTACCAGTATGCAGCATCCATCTGTATTTTAAAGGCACGATATGTAAGAATTTCGTAATAAAATATCCAAAAACCACTTGCACATTGTTATATATTTCATGCTGTTGTGCACTTACATTATCCCAAAAGTTCCCAAGGATTTGTAAATCCAGAGAATTTCCAATTTTAAATAATGGCTCGTCCTGGTTCATTGTCGCCAATCAATTACGTAAAATCCGCGCGATCGGTTTCCGCTTGTAGAAACTATAGCAACACACGTGGACAAAAATGCTGCTGCAGTTAAATTAAATCCATTACGGCGGTCGTGAATAAAATGAAAATTAAATGAAAAGTGTTGACTGCAGCATTCAATTTAGATCTGCTCAATGTTGCACCATCAATCTTTTTCCGCGTTTTTACAGTGTTGCACGTTATAACCAATCACACACGAGTCTGTTGAGTTTATGAACGCAGCGGCCAATCAGAGGCGTTTAGATGAGTCATCGCTGAAACACGGGAGTTTTGTTTAGTGTGCGCGCTCGCTAACTGAACTCTGCTCTCTTGTAAATTTTCTCATCAGAAACAATAATGTGCAGATGTACGTATGATGTAAGTAGTCAAACAGCGTATAGACAGCTTTACTGATTATAAGGGGAGTTTTTTGAGAATGCTTAAACTCGCACTAGACTGAAGTCAGGCATACTGTTTTTTGACAATGTAACGTTAAATGTTCTTTGCTCGCTTTCTCTATATAATTTATTCGCTGTTTGAATAACTTTGGAAGGTACAGGTAATAAAAAAAATTAATTCATTACATCCGTGAACATGATTCGGACATCTCTGGATGGTGAAAACGACATCTCCCATCGTTCCACTCTCCTTCATAGCGTTATCAAGCTTCGCCTTTGTTATTGTTCTGAAAATGCGACGTCTTGCGGTGAAAACTTACATATTGTTCCTTTAATGTCAAAAATAATTTGAATGTTGACAAGTAGCTACAAATAATAAATCATAATTTTTGCAATCATTTATTGCATTTTATTATTTGTATATTAAAACGTCTAAGTGCATACTGAAAATGCTTCTATTTTTATTTCTATTAATTTGACCAACTGGCATTATTAAATTGCATTATTAAATATTTGAGCTTTAAATAATAAATCATCATATTTGCAAACACTTGTAGCGTTTTATTATTTTCATTAATCATTTAACTAGTACCTGCTACAAGCACAGCCAGTATTGAGGCCATATTTAATGTGTTTCTGATTAATAAAGTCTAACTGGCCAGGGACCATACGCACATGCTGCACTATGATGTGATGCAACATGTTGCTAACACCCTCCACTTCATAGAGTCATTTTAAAACCAAATTATGTTCTACATTTCAGCCCTCTAAGACTGCAATTTTCATAAAAACATGTTTCCCATGTATCAAGTTTACTAGCTGCCATATGTTTGTAAGACTCCTACAGTGTTTTTCTGACTTATATAATAAGCATTATATAACTGTACTAGTCGTCTCACCTTCCGTCAGAGCCTCTTTCATGATTGGCTGCCCTTTGGTGATGTCATCGGGTGTGGCCCTGAAAATCATTCTGTTGCGAAGGCTGGTCTCGTCTGGTACGCCACAGTCACACATGTCCCTGAACAACTTCACTTTCTCCTCCAGTAGAGTCAAGATCTGCTCATCCCTCTTGAGCAGCTGATCTGTAAAGACCAATGTTAATTTCATAACAGGCAACCTAAGATTCACTTCATTCATTTTAGCAGAATTTTACACCTTTTGACCACTAATTTTCATGGGTTTTTTAGTCATTTTAAAAAATTAATTCATTACATCCGTGAACATGATTCGGACATCTCTGGATGGTGAAAACGACATCTCCCATCGTTCCACTCTCCTTCATAGCGTTATCAAGCTTCGCCTTTGTTATTGTTCTGAAAATGCGACGTCTTGCGGTGAAAACTTACATATTGTTCCTTTAATGTCAAAAATAATTTGAATGTTGACAAGTAGCTACAAATAATAAATCATAATTTTTGCAATCATTTATTGCATTTTATTATTTGTATATTAAAACGTCTAAGTGCATACTGAAAATGCTTCTATTTTTATTTCTATTAATTTGACCAACTGGCATTATTAAATTGCATTATTAAATATTTGAGCTTTAAATAATAAATCATCATATTTGCAAACACTTGTAGCGTTTTATTATTTTCATTAATCATTTAACTAGTACCTGCTACAAGCACAGCCAGTATTGAGGCCATATTTAATGTGTTTCTGATTAATAAAGTCTAACTGGCCAGGGACCATACGCACATGCTGCACTATGATGTGATGCAACATGTTGCTAACACCCTCCACTTCATAGAGTCATTTTAAAACCAAATTATGTTCTACATTTCAGCCCTCTAAGACTGCAATTTTCATAAAAACATGTTTCCCATGTATCAAGTTTACTAGCTGCCATGTGCTTGTAAGACGACCACAGTGTTTTTCCAACTTATATAATAAGCATTATATAACTGTACTAGTCGTCTCACCTTCCGTCAGAGCCTCTTTCATGATTGGCTGCCCTTTGGTGATGTCATCGGGTGTGGCCCTGAAAATCATTCTGTTGCGAAGGCTGGTCTCGTCTGGTACGCCACAGTCACACATGTCCCTGAACAACTTCACTTTCTCCTCCAGTAGAGTCAAGATCTGCTCATCCCTCTTGAGCAGCTGATCTGTAAAGACCAATGTTAATTTCATAACAGGCAACCTAAGATTCACTTCATTCATTTTAGCAGAATTTTACACCTTTTGACCACTAATTTTCATGGGTTTTTTAGTCATTTTAGTCACTAGAGTTTTTAAAAATCATTTTAAACCGACTGTACTCATTCATTTCTAGTCAGTGAAACACTACAATTAAATATTGTAATCACTAAACATTTATGAACTTTTAAGACTTTAAATTCTGTCTTTACTCTAACCCCAAACAAACCATATCTACACATTGAAGTCATTTTAAGCCAGAAAAAGGAAAGATGGAATTCTGCACCTCTCAACTCCTTGACTTTGATTTCTTGAAGTCTTCTGTCCTCTTCGTTTTCACTAGGCACACCTTCATCATCATCTCCCTCCCTGGAGAAAATCGAGAGTCTGTAAAGAAAGACTACCCTCTCTCACAAATTGTGATGTTTAAAGTACGTTTTTTCTACTATGTTAAGCTGACTATTCTTTTTACTTATTATTTATATTATTTTATCAAGATAAATTAAAAATAAAAACACTGAAAAACATCGGAATGTATATTATTATAATATCCTGTATATTCGTTTTAAAATTTGCTAAAGATTACAATTTACAGTGTTATTTTTCATTTCTAAAAATGTAATTTAAGTGAGTGCAAGATGACGGAAAAGGTAAATGTAAAAATAGGAAAAATGAGATATATAATTAAAATATTCAATATTGGCCCATTAAAAAAAAAAAAGAAAGAAGAGAGTTATCGGTTCTTGACCGATATATTGTGCATCCCTCCTTCTTGCATATAAAATGGGAACCAGATTCAGAGACTCACACTGACTGCATGGCCTCCTGAATGAGCTGCATCCATGTGTTCCTCTCCTCCTTAGAGCTGGTGTACACTTCTACCATCTCAGGCTTCTCAATGCCGGCCGTGATCAGGAACAGTCCTTTCTCCTCATTGGCTACTTCCCTCAAAATGAGTTTCTGCAGAGAGATGACGGTGGAGCGCTGGTCCTGAGAGTGGAGAACAAGTAGATGAGATGGGACTAGGAAATTATGGGGCGAGGTCACACGATTAGAAAGTGCCAAAGACCTTCATATGCCAATGTTCCTATTAAAACCAGCACTGATAGAGCGCCAGAGACATTACACAATACTAGATTCCAGAATCCAAACAAGATAGTGTAAACATGTATTATTGAGGAACACTGTTCTGGGAATCACAGGCAGAGTTGTAATGATAAACATACCAAGGATGCAAATATGTACTTCTGATCTTTCTCCTGTAGGAACACAATCACATCCCTCAGCAGCAGAGCCTGGACATCTGGAGAAGAATTAAAAAACATTAAAAAACAGACCCTGTTTGTGTTAGTGTGGGTGTATGTTGCTATGGTGACAGACCTGACTTTGTTCTGTCAGCAAAATGTTAACGCTGTTTATCCATGTACTGTATTTTGAAATGTGAAACTAGATTACATTTTCTGAATTAAATGTGAGAGGCAAACCACGCACCACAATTTTAAGGTGATTCTGCAGATGCTAAGCTGTTTAGCTTGTTGTTTTTGTTCAGCTGTTGCTAAGGTGTTGTGGGTGGTTGCTAGGGTGGTTAAGGTATTCTGAATGATGTTTAGCACATTGTTGCTGTTATGTGGTTGCTAAGATGTGGCAAGTGAGTGCTAGGATGTTGCTATGTGGTTTGTTAGTGCCAAGGTGTTGTGAGTGGTTTCTTGTTGTTGTTAAGTGGTTGCCAGGGTGTTGCTATGCAGTTGCTATAAGGTTATTCAGGTGTTCTGAGTGTCTTTTACACATTGTTTTTATGTGGTTGGTAGGGTGTTGCTATGCGGTTGGGAATGTATTCTGAGTGTCTTTTTTACATGTTGTTGTTACGTGGTTGCTAGGGTGTTGCAGGTGGTTACCATGGTGTTGCTATGCAGTTGCTATAAGGTTAATAAGGTGTTCTGAGTGTCTTTTACACATTGTTTTTATGTGGTTGGTAGGGTGTTGCTATGCGGTTGGGAATGTATTCTGAGTGTCTTTTTTACATGTTGTTGTTACGTGGTTGCTAGGGTGTTGCAGGTGGTTACCATGGTGTTGCTATGCAGTTGCTATAAGGTTAATAAGGTGTTCTGAGTGTCTTTTACACATTGTTTTTATGTGGTTGGTAGGGTGTTGCTATGCAGTTGGGAATGTGTTCTGAGAGTCTTTTTTACATGTTGTTGTCATGTTGTTGCTAGGGTGTTGCACGTGGTTGCTATGCAGTTGCTATAAAGTTAAGGTGTTCTGAGTGCCTTTTACACATTGTTTTTATGTGGTTGTCAGTGTGTTACTATGCTGTTGCTAAAAGGTTGTTAAGGTATTCTGTGAGTTCTGAGAGTTTTGTTTTTCCATGTTGTTACGTGGTTACTAGGGTGTTGCAGGTGATTGCCATGCTGGTGATATGCTGTTGCTAAGGTGTTCTGAGTGGGTTTTATTATGTTGTTGCTGTTATGCGATTGCTAAGGGGTTCTTAGATTTTTTTTTTACTACTTTTTATCTGCTGATATATTCATTAACCAATGAACCCATTGCACTGGTTCTCACCCTTGAGTCTGCCCGCTGAGTTCTTGAGCTGTAGCGGTCCATCGTGAATTAACTTCTGCCCACGTAACAGATCCTCTCTGGCAAACATCTGCCCGCTTTTCATCCTCATGATGGACTTGCTGTCGGTCCGGCTGTACACTTCCTTTAGCCTCTTTTTCTTCTCATGCTCGTTTACTTTATTGTCCACGGCGGCAATCACCTCCTTCACCAACTTCAGACCTTGGGTTACATCTGCATGGTCTTCCTCATTTTCTGTCATGAAATACTTCAGAATATTACCTGGAGCACCACAGATAAATTCAAGGGTACTGACATAGTCTGGCTAGAATAGTAACTAGTTGTACCTTTCGTGTGCTGCAGTATTCTCTGTAGTAAGACGGGATACTTTGTTATTCGTTGTGTGACTAACAATATACACTCAGGAATGCTTAGCCGTCGGACAACAGAGCTGCTCATCATTTTCTGGAAAACAGAAACAGATGTGAAACATGGGACTGTTTCCATTTTAGAGTCTTGAGCAGGAAACAAAACGAGGAAAAGAATAAACACTTTAGGCTTCTTTTACGAACTAACTGTTTTTACTGTGTGAAATTTGTGAAGGCAAAATCATTTGAGATGGCTACCTTGATGAAAGCTTGAAAACGTTTGTCTTTGGTTTGAAGCTCCTTGTAAAAGTTCACAGCTTCATTGTGTCTGCTGCAGAACTTCCCATAGACCTTCTTCATTCTCTCGGCACTGGAACCTGAGAACTAGGGAGGAATAAATAGTGGAAAAATTGTATGTTACTTAAATGCTATACTAGCATTATACTTACTATAAAAGCTCCAGACATTACAAATCAATGCATTTCTATAGATCCAGAGGCATTTTGTCGATGTTCCATCACAAGTTTTAGCCTGAACGTACCTGAGAGACCAGCACATCACCAATCTTTCGGATGACAAAGCCACCTTCTTCCTGGCTCCCTGACTCTTTCTTCCTTTCGAGCAGCTGTAAGAAGAACTGTGTGTGCAAGTCTAGAACGTCATCTAACATGGGGAATATCTTCTCTACAGTCTGAACCTCCAGTTGAACCTCTCTCAGTAGCCCTTTACTGTAAACATCAGCCATAATCTTCAAGGTCCTCACATGGTGCATTTCGGTCTGGATGAGTTCTAATAATAAGAGAAGGCAGGAACTTTATCACATGACCTTATAAGTGTGTCTATGACCTCACTCAACAGTTTCAATACTTTTTCTCAGAAAGTTTGAAAATGAAAGCAGAAGCTTCTTTGGAGGGTCTAGTGTGACTCTTACCGTAAATGACATCTTGCCTCTTGATAACATCCTTTTTAAGCTGTTTCAATAATTTCTTGTCCACCGTAAAGCTCCAAGAATCTGCTTCCAGCTCTTTGGCATCAGCTTCAAATTCTCCCATCAGCTGACTATCCATCATCTCTGTACCTGCCGTCCACATAAACCAATAAGAATGATGCCGTTTTCTAGAATATACACTTATTTCTGTTTATATTACAAAATATTTAAGAATTAAATTATAATGAATAGCCACACTGTAAATAATTAATACTTATTCTCATGTTAATCTTCATAACATGTTTGGACTCAAGACAGGTGTGTATTTTGTTGGTAATGATTCAATTACGAGATGAAGAGACGTACCCTCATCAGTAAGAGATTCTGTGGACTCGCTGACTTTACTGGTCTTGTGAAGAGAGTCGGTTGACTGGGACAGAAACTTCAGAGTCTTTAGAGGAGGGTCTTCAATTTGCCTGAATGTGCAAAGAGCAGAAGATTTGTTATATACTCTATGTTTTAATGCCTTATTGATTTTATAAAACAGTGACCTCAAAATCTAAATATCAAGTGCACAATTCTCATCGGTTTTAAAATTATGAATTAAATCCAACAGTAAAGAATAAACTAAAATCATGACAGAAATCTTGTCAAGACATTCAATGGTGAAAGCACAAAACTGTGATTGTAAGAGCAATTACAATATTAAATTTAAAGACATCTGTATGTTATCAGCTAGCATTGGCACTGACCCAGCGATGTTATTAATGGACATGCTCTTGGACAGCGGGTTGCTGTTGAAAGACATGATACTGCTGGGGCTTTTCCGAGGAGGGGCGAGAGTAGCGGGCTGATCATCGGTAACAGAGAAGGTGGACCACGGACGTTCCCGTGCTGGGAGGGCTAAACATATTAACAAGTTTACACGGTCAGATTTTTTAAATAAAGCAGAAATACATAAAACATGAAGAAATGCATGATTATATGAGGACTTTACTTTTACTTCTAAGCGTGACTCCAGGCATCGAGGCAGAATCTGGAACAGTCTGCTGCTGTTTTTGCTGCTGAAAGAAATATTTTAATAGAGTCTTTACTCTTTATAGATCCATATTATGATATCAAAAGAAGAGTTCAATTGCAGCAAACAGGTTTGGAAAAGTAAATACTGACATAATCTTCAATTTGGGGTAAACTTTCCTTTTACTCATATTATTCCTACAGTTCTGGTCATAAAACTGACAATAATTAGCAAAGAAGCATATGAAATGCGCAAAAGTACTGTTTATGACAGTCATATGAGAACCAGTATAAAAGACAGTGGATTACCTTCATTTTGACCTTGGCACAAACAGGAAGACTCTCTCTGCAGCCTTTGTGGACTTGTGCATTGCAATCTGAAAACAAACAAACAAACACACACAAACCGTACGGTCAGTAAAGAATGCACAGGCCTTTGTCCATCAGTTTAGTGCGATATTCCACTTGTTCTCATCCAAAAGCAGATAGAATAAGCCTGAAGCTGGAAAAAACAGCAGCAAACAGAATAGAAATCTGGAAGAAAAGTGGCACTGAACAAGCACTGTCGTTTCCTGCTTCTCCGTTTGTGTAGAAGAGAGTGAGATTAGCCTTTTCCTGCCTGACTCCACCTCTGCTACACAGCTGATGTTTGCCACAAATTTAACCACAAACACTTCGGTTGAATCATTACTAGTCTTAAACATTTAAAGATTTCATGTATACATGTCAAGTCAGTGTTTATACTTGTTTTCTCTATGAAAACAAGCTAAACTTGTGAATTTCAGAAGTTACATTGAAAAATAAAATGGGTTAAAATTAAAATTCAGACACATATATATATATATATATATATATATGACATAAGTTATTGGTTATTTCAAATGTACAACCAATTTGATGTTATGTAGATTTGCTGTCAATATAATAACCAAAAACCTTAACTTTAATGCCAATTCAAAACATACCTGCACAGATGGTGCTTTTGCCTTTCTCTGTCAGTGTACTTTGCACCTCATGACCACAAAACTACAGCATAGTTAGACACACCCAAAAGAATGCTTTATAAAAACAAAACCACACACAACAATCTCCGATCGTGTGCATGGTGGTATCAAGGGCTTAAACAACCTACATGTTTGAAGGCGTAGAGATTGTGAAAATTTCCCTGCAAGTTCACAACCTTCCCCACTCAACATACACTACCTATAGAAGACCAAATCTGCAGAAACAGACAGACAGACAGACAGACAGACAGACAGACAGACAGACAGACAGATATATAGATAGATAGATGTAACAATAGGAAAATAAATAAAGGAATACATTATTTGATAAAACAAATAGAATTCATGTGCAATAAAATTTAAGCCCGAATTTACTTTTTATAACCTTTTTTTCTTTATTTATTATTTTCTGTATTTATTGTTATTCTTTTTAGCTTTTATTTACTTATTCTTTCATTTATGTTTTTACATTATTCTTATATTTATTTAATTCATTCATTCATTTATTTATTTTTAAGTTTATTTATTTATGCGTTCATTTTTTACTTTATATTTATTTATTCCCACGTGTATTTATTTCCAGATTTATTTCTTTTTACTTTCCTGTGTGCAACTTGGAAATAAGGGAGGCGGTCCTTGAGGAGCTCCAGTGAATCACTGGTTGAGAGCTCATATTTTCACCGATTCACATTATGTCTAATTATTTTATATAGGGATGCACCGATATGAAAATTTTGGCCGATACCAATAACCGATAATTCTTTATTTTTGAAAGCCGATAACCGATATGTTGGCCGATGAATCTATATCCAAATTTTTATATACTTTTTGAGCCAAAAACCTTAACTTTAATGCCAATTCAAAACATACCTGCACAGATGGTGCTTTTGCCTTTCTCTGTCAGTGTACTTTGCACCTCATGACCACAAAACTACAGCATAGTTAGACACACCCAAAAGAATGCTTTATAAAAACAAATCCACACACAACAATCTCCGATCGTGTGCTTGGTGGTATCAAGGGCTTAAACAACCTACATGTTTGAAGGCGTAGAGATTGTGAAAATTTCCCTGCAAGTTCACAACCTTCCCCACTCAACATACACTACCTATAGAAGACCAAACCTGCAGAAACAGACAGACAGACAGACAGACAGACAGATAGATATATAGATAGATAGATGTAACAATAGGAAAATAAATAAAGGAATACATTATTTGATAAAACAAATAGAATTCATGTGCAATAAAATTTAAGCCCGAATGTACTTTTTATAACCTTTTTTTCTTTTTTCTTATTTTCTGTATTTATTGTTATTCTTTTTAGCTTTTATTTACTTATTCTTTCATTTATGTTTTTACATTATTCTTATATTTATTTAATTCATTCATTCATTTATTTATTTTTAAGTTTATTTATTTATGCGTTCATTTTTTACTTTATATTTATTTATTCCCACGTGTATTTATTTCCAGATTTATTTCTTTTTACTTTCCTGTGTGCAACTTGGAAATAAGGGAGGCGGTCCTTGAGGAGCTCCGGTGAATCACTGGTTGAGAGCTCATATTTTCACTGATTCACATTATGTCTAATTATTTTATAGCGATCCATCAACATCGCCGATGAGTTTCTAGGTTGATGACGCCTCTAGACACACCCAGTGAAGGTTTCTAAGGCTTGTGTTTATTTTGTAATCATAGGCTTGCAGTGCTTTTGGAAGTCAATATTTTCTCTAAGTTTATCGTAAACCAATTGCACCAAAGGTCTCTACGGTCTACTCAGGCTCACAATACTTTTTGGAGACGTGGCACTGGACTGTTCTGTTCTTCATAGAAGCCATTGGTTGGTTGGGAAACAACCTCGATCATTTCACCTGTTGCATAGTCAAGATGTTCTCTGTGATTACAAAATAAACTAGCATTAGTGTGGAAACCTACCACCCACTGGGTGTCATCAACCTAGAATCTGACAACTTTGGTGATGATTCTGGGCTTGAAGACAATGCTGTGTGAGGAAGGATCACACAAGTAGCTGGATTCAGCTTTGTGCGTCTATTTCTGGAAAATTGTGGTCGCTATAAAATAGTTTAACATCATAATGAGAATCGATAAAAATAACTCTCCAGTTGATCTGCCTCATCCCGTATAAACTCCCGTATAAATTTCTCTCATCTAGTTAGAGCTGACTATTGACGCTTATAACCAATGATGCACTGGAGCTCTGCAAGGACCGCCTCCCTCATTTCCATATTGCACACGGAAAGTAAAAAGAAATAAACTAATAAATAAATCTGGAAACAAATACATGTGGGAATAAATAAATATAAAAATAAATAAATGCATAAATATAACAATAAATGAAAGAATAAGTAAATCAAATTTAAAAAGAATAAAAATAAATTTAAAAATAAATACAGAAAATAAAAAATAAAGAAAAAAGGTAATAGAAATTAAGGAATAATACAAATGAATTGTATTTGTTTTATCAAATCATTTATTCCTTTATTTCTTATTATATTTATTTATTTGCATGAATATTTATTTTTAATTTCTGCAGGTTTGGTCCTTCATAACTACCATTCAAATCTTTGGGGTCAATAAGATTTTAATTTTTATTCATTTTATTTAATTCTTTTTTAATTCACACTTTTATTCTGCAAAAATGTATTTTTGATCAAATAAGCGCTGTTTCTCATGCATTCAGCATTCTTTTGATGAATAGAAAGTTCAAATCAGCATATTAGAATGATTTCTGAAGGATCGTGTGACACTGAAGACTGGAGTAATGGTGCTGAAAATTCAGCTTTGACATCACTGGAAAAAAGTACATTTTAAAATACATTAAAATAGAAAACAGTTATTTTAAATCGTAATAATATTTTATGATATAGCTGTTTTTCCTGTATTTCTGATCAAATGAATGCAACTAAAACAGTAGTGTATTTATTAGTGTAACAGAGCATTAAATTGTTAAATAGTAATAACAACAACGTTATCACACAAGACGTGTGTGTGTGTCTCGAGCATCAGTCACTTTTGGGAAACGAGAGGAAACGGTGATGAGTCTGCCAGTACATCCTCTGAGAACAACAAGCAGAGAGAGCAATGGCGGTAGCGGTGCGCTGACAGGATGTTCCAGTGCACTGACTGCTCTCAGTGCAGCGCTGAGCCCTGCCAGCTGTGTGCGTGTGGAGCCACAGAGTGATGCAACACTGTGTAAGGCCTGACTGGGCAGATAGCCATGATTACTCCTTTATTTTTTTTTCTTGCTTTCTTCAAAATTCTGCTCACTCCGAGATGCATATTAACCCATTTCTCCACACATATCATGCACAACGGTGTCTCTCCAGAAACCTGCTCATGCACGGCTTTAAATCACAAATACTATCCTAGAAGTTGTCGCTGACTAGCTAATTAAAATAGCTTCTTTATTTCAAGAGATAATCTGAAGGCATTTTCTCTATGGAATAAAATTTATTTAACCAACTTCTTGTTAATCTCTTGCGAAGCAAGCTTCTGCAAAAAACACTTTCGCAGCAGTAAATTAAACTCGGTGCATGACTGCGCTGCAAATGAAAGCAAAGGAGGAAGTGCCAAAAAAAGACACCAGCCTATGGCAAAACAAAAGAAGCAAGCGGAATGACTGCACAGAACAGAACAGAGCAGTATTTTACAAACTTTTTGTTTTTGTGTATATTTAATTTAATAAATACACAACTGATACCAATCCAAATACATTTTAATTAAACAGAAGTACTGTATAAAGTTTGCCATTAATATCATAAATTACATGCAGAGACGAGAAAAGTATAGTATAAGGTTTGAAAAAGTTGTAGAATAGAAAGTATAGAACAGTAGAGCAGAAGAGAGCAGAATATACAATATAAAAGAATAGAAATAAAGAAAAGTAAAGACCATAAAAGAAAATAGATTTAAAACTGAAAAGTGTGTAAAAGAATAAAATGTCAATAATTGCAGAATAGAGAGTAAAGCACAATAGAGTAGAGAATAGAATAGTAAAGAAGATTATAGAGAGTAAAATAGAGTTCTGTACTCTATAATAAGTAAAGTGCTCTTACTGGTGCAGAGGAAAGCATCTTTAGTGTTGATGGGTTTGTTGCACTGTTGGCAGGGGATTGTGGGTATGGTCATGATCGCAGTGAATAGATGTCCATTTGAGGTTCTCCTCTCCTTGTCTTTGGCATCTCGCTCGCGCTCCTTATTCTTGTCTTTCTCCTTCTCCTGCAAAATACAAGCCAAAATGTGAACGAATGAATAAATCAGAGTATAGATGTGTGATGTATAGTGCTTTCAGACAGTGCGAGCTGTGCATTAGACTCGGTTGCAGCGAGGCCCTGGCCCAGATGGGAGATTAAATGGGAGCGGAGCACATCCATCATAAAACTCACAGTGTCAGCAGAGCATTGCTGCATCCATCACAGGAGAAGCCTCATCAGCTGCACAATCAATACTTTCATTCATATTCATCATTCATTTTCAGCTGCAGAGATGAAACACACTTTCATACATTCTCAACAACTATCTATCCTCAATATCACATTTTCAACATCTGCATCTCCCTACTAATCTACATCCATCCATCCATCCTCTATATCACGACACGTAGGGCTGAATAATAATTCAATATCAATATGTATCGTGATATTTATTTTTTTTCAATAACGGTGATATGGTTTTTAAACACATTTCCGATATTTCGATATAGCCTACATTACCAGTGTTTCCCATACATTGATTTATTCGTGGCGTTTGACTTCATTGAATAAACATGAGCACTGCACGTTTTAAAATCAAAACTTGTCGCGGGTGTTTTATATGAATGTATCTCTAAAGGGAAAGGACTGTCTTCTGAAAAGTTTCGATGGGATTTTTATTTTATCTAATAAAGAAGTGTTCATGAGCGGAGCTGCTTTGTTTAGAGCCATTACTGGAAAAAACGCTAGTTCTTCCGCTCTTAAAGCACCTCCTGCTGGCAGACAAGCAGTTTGCTCTTTTCATACTCTTTATACTGGCTATCAGCCTACACTACCAGTCTAAAGGTTTTGAAGGGTAAGATTTTATTTTATTTTTTTTAAGAATTCTCTTCTGCTCACCAAGCCTGCATTTATTTGATCCATGGATGGGTGGCTTAATATAATAACACCAGGAAAAAATAATTTGGCTACAAACGGTTTAAGGAGGAAGAGGGTCAAAGTGCACTTCCCAAAGAGTTTAAACATGACTAAAATTTATAGAATGTATAGAAAATTCAAGATTAAAAAAAAAAAACTACTTGAACAACACAAGTGATTTAAGTAATTCACGCAATTCTCAACTGGAGTGAAACAATGCTCTCGGGAAGCACAAAAAAAAAAGTTAAAATAAGTTGCCAAGGCAATAAATTAGCACATCAAACCTCTAAAAATCATAATCACAAACACATCAGAACATCAAATAAATGTCTCTTTTCACTATACATGACAAAAAAAACTAACATCTTCTCTTTGGTATTACAGTCCTACCTCAACCAGACCACCAGTATTCTTGATCTTCAGTGACCGACCCTGTGGTAAAAACCTACGACAAAGCATAGACATCTCAGATGCAAGGTAGCCAGTGAACGCACTGGCCTGAAGGTACGGCAGATGAGGTTGAGAGTCTGTCTAAACAAACACATAAGTTCCCATGACGAAGAGCAGACGAGCCAGCCAGAGGAAGTGACTGCAGTTTCTTTTTGTCGTCTTTCACATCGGGGTTCAACTTAAAGATACAGTGCACTTCCTTTTACCATAGACCCTCCCTAGTATAAGAGGCAGCTTTTTGTTTGCATTCTGTCATTTAGCCAATTCAATATAGATCGAAATTCTAATCGACACTGCAGTTAATTCAAACCCGGAGTGACCATGTTACATTAAACAATTAAGATGCATCCTGTCTTCATCACTGGCCTAGTTACCAATACGACACTATTCCATACACAATGTTTAAAAAAAAAAACAATGTGGCAAATTAAGGTGTGTGGGTTTCTTAGGTCAAATAATGTGTATAAATTCCTAAATAACCATATTTGAGGACATAAACCATATATGGGGGCCCAGCTGGTTCATGTGGACATCAAAAAAGTGTCAAGAAAGTTCTCTGAAATTGTGAAGTCATAGATTTTAACATGCATCTGTTTTCACAGAATTGCATGAGCTCTAAAGCTTTAGTGTGAGCGAGTGCATTTAACAGAGCCATAGAGAGACCACAGCTTGCTTCAACATCCTGTTGAACTTCCCTACCGCGAGCTCTTGTACGACAGACAGTGTGTGCACAGAGTTGCCTGCGCAAGAGCAAACCTTTTAACAACTTCAGATAGTGCAGGGGTTGCTGAGAGCTTTCACACCATCAGCAACCCTATCATCTACAGGGACCACAGGGAGAAAACCTCAAAAGTTAATTAGCAGGTGCATGCTGCTGCATCAAATATATGATATGAGGCAAACTAAAACGATAACATTTGTTTCCACTAATAAGGACTGAGATGCTTCAGATAGGCCCACATGAAGGAAATGTATTGGTTTTTGATTGGAAGAATCCTAGTTTGACTACAGCTGAAACACACACACACACACACACACACACACACACACACATATATACATACATACATACATGCATACATATTTAAACATTAAATTATAAATATTAAATCATAATCTAAATAGTTTCATTATATACCAACCTTGCTCTTCTTGCTCATTTTGCTCTTGAGGTAACTGAATGTCCTGCTCACTTTCGTTCCTCCAACTTTGCCTTCACTGTCACTCCGCAATGGCCCCGGGTCCTCCTCTGATATACTGAACGAGACGAAAGATAAATGGGAAAATGTAAAACTGGTGCTGCATCTCAATTTGCAGACTATCCGTCCTAAATGTTATTCAAAATTAGACTTAGTGTCTCCCAATTTGTTGAAATGAGTGTCCCAAAGTTACCCGGATGGTTTACTATTTCCAGTGAAAATTCAAAGTGCAAATTCGTGCACACACTGTGTGCGTTGGATGCGGTCTTGATTAGAATTACAAACACAAATAAAAAGTCTTAACACAAATAAAAACTACAAACGGTATATATGCTAAACCAACAGTTAAGTAGAGAAAGGGGTTTGGAGTGATTAATATTCAATATCTAACCTGATGAAAAAAATATTTATTTAATATGATCCACGTTCTATTTCATCTGCAATAACATTTTGAACTTTTATAAAGATGCATTTGGTCATTAACTTTTAAATGCATCATTATGGAAACACATGAGGTCAGTTCTCGGCACAAAAGACCCGCGACTGGCAGATCAGCGTGTTACTTAATTTCTCTCCAAAATTAACTGAAACTAAATGTGGATTATGTTAACTGTGACAAGATGATTGACAGGCCAGTTTAAACAGCGACAGGATGCATATCACACTAAGCAACAGCGGTTGAAGTAGTATGTCCCAGAAACTAAATGTGGATTATGTTAACTGTGACAAGATGATTGACAGGCCAGTTTAAACAGCGACAGGATGCATATCACACTAAGCAACAGCGGTTGAAGTAGTATGTCCCAAAGCTTGCCTAATATTCTGCTACACACTCAAAAGTATGTAATTTTTCTTCACAAATAGAGTACGTACTTTTAGGGTATAGTAAAATTAGGCAAATTGGGATGAAGCATAAAATCTGGACATTAACATGTTAACATGTAGCCAATTCAAACATGTGATGCAGGGGTCATATACCAGTTCTCTAAAGATCCTGATGTGCCTGTGAATGAGCCCAGTCCTGAAACGAGAGAAAAAGCATTGATTAAGTACTGTGGAGGCAAGACTACAACTAACTAAATGACATAAACGAGACCACAGAACAACAAATTACATTATTATTCACTTTTCAATGAGCCTCTGGAGTTTTGTACTTGTACAAAAATAAATTACACAAGACGTTTTATGGCATGAATAGACTCTAAGGCACAGCCCTGCACAGAACAAAAGCAATTCTTCAAGCAAAATGCCCCATTTATACAAAACTCAAAAAAGCTTTAAAAAAAAAAGTCATTGTAACGCAACCACAAAAGCTGAATTGTGAAAGATGAAAAGATTGATAATGTTTTGCAAGGACTGGAGAAACAGGCTTATTATTATTTTAGAATTTTTGTTGTTGTTGTCTTGTATAGTAAATGACTACGCTGTGTTTGTACAATTGTTTTTTATGATACCTGTGACAGTTGAGTTTGACTTAGATATATATTCATTTAAAGAAAAAAAAAGTGTAAAGAATTATATTAAATCAATAAAAATGCAACAAATTGTGAAACATTTTTCTTAGGTTCCATTGTTGGCATAGTTAGTGCATTATTACTCTGTATAATAAGCTTGAATAGGAGAAAGTATATTATCATTACATACACATATACATATACATATACATATATACATATACATACATACATATATATATATATATACAGTGGGTACGGAAAGTATTCAGACCCCCTTAAATTTTTCAGTTTGGTCATTAACTTTTAAATGCATCATTATGGAAACACATGAGGTCAGTTCTCGGCACAAAAGACTGGCAGATCAGCGTGTTACTTAATTTCTCTCCAAAATTAACTGAAACTAAATGTGGATTATGTTAACTGTGACAAGATGATTGACAGGCCAGTTTAAACAGCGACAGGATGCATATCACACTAAGCAACAGCGGTTGAAGTAGTATGTCCCAAAGCTTGCCTAATATTCTGCTACACACTCAAAAGTATGTAATTTTTCTTCACAAATAGAGTACGTACTTTTAGGGTATAGTAAAATTAGGCAAATTGGGATGAAGCATAAAATCTGGACATTAACATGTTAACATGTAGCCAATTCAAACATGTGATGCAGGGGTCATATACCAGTTCTCTAAAGATCCTGATGTGCCTGTGAATGAGCCCAGTCCTGAAACGAGAGAAAAAGCATTGATTAAGTACTGTGGAGGCAAGACTACAACTAACTAAATGACATAAACGAGACCACAGAACAACAAATTACATTATTATTCACTTTTCAATGAGCCTCTGGAGTTTTGTACTTGTACAAAAATAAATTACACAAGACGTTTTATGGCATGAATAGACTCTAAGGCACAGCCCTGCACAGAACAAAAGCAATTCTTCAAGCAAAATGCCACATTTATACAAAACTCAAAAAAGCTTTAAAAAAAAAAAAAGTAATTGTAACGCAACCACAAAAGCTGAATTGTGAAAGATGAAAAGATTGATAATGTTTTGCAAGGACTGGAGAAACAGGCTTATTATTATTTTTGAATTTTTGTTGTTGTTGTCTTGTATAGTAAATGACTATGCTGTGTTTGTACAATTGTTTTTTATGATACCTGTGACAGTTGAGTTTGACTTAGATATATATTCATTTAAAGAAAAAAAAAGTGTAAAGAATTTTATTAAATCAATAAAAATGCAACAAATTGTGAAACATTTTTCTTAGGTTCCATTGTTGGCATAGTTAGTGCATTTAGCCTCTAGGGGCAGTACAATTTACTCTGTAAAATAAGCTTGAATAGGAGAAAGTATATTATCATTACATACACATATACATATACATATACATATATACATATATACATACATATATATATTAATGAGGAAAAAAAATTAACTTAAATGATTTTAGCAAATGGCTGCAATATAACAAAGAGTGAAACATTTAAGGGGGTCTGAATACTTTCCGTACCCACTGTATAAAGCTTTAAAATGTCAAGTGATTTTGGAGATAAATTAGACCAATTTAGGTAATTTAAAGGTAAATTACAGATACTGATTTGTAATGTTTTATACCTATATATTATATATATATATATATATATATATACATTTCTTTTCACAAGGAACTAAGCAGCTGTGAAATCTATAATCTATAAGCAGTGCTATGAAAAGTGTTCATGTGGATCTGAATGACTCTGAGACATGGACAGAGATGAAGCCAATGGAAGGAAACTATACAGCTGTGGCAATGTCTCATGTGGGTGACCAGCGATCCATTCGTCCAATAACCCACAGGAATTACTTGAGCAAAGGTTTGTGTAAAATACCATTTTTCTGTCAGATGAAGAGCTGAGAAGAATTTTAATCAAAAGCATCGCAAACACACACTTCCGCCATACATACTATTGTGCTACTGCAGCTGTAACAAACCTCAGCACTCAAGGGTGAAATGTACTTTGAAATATCTGTGCCATTAAACCAAATGTATTATGATTTAGGAAGCTATTATACACTTATTAAAGGGATAGTTCACCCAAGAATGAAAATTTGATGTTTATCCACTTACCCCCAGGGCATCCAAGATGTAAGTGACTTTGTTTCTTCAGTAGAACACAAACAAAGATTTTTAACTCAAAACTTAACTCAGACAGTTGCAGTCTGTCAGTCATATAATGGAGGTGAATGGGAATCACGGCTTTGAGAGTCAAAAAAACATACACAAACAAAACTAAATTAAACCCTGCGGCTTGTGACGATACAGACCATTGACACTCCTAATTGAGATTGTAGATAGTGTCAATGGTCCATTTGAGAGATAGGTGGCGGTAATGCACTTATAAGTCCGCGATCTGTCATAAAGCAAGACGACGACGACGACGCGATCTGTCGTAAAGCAAGACGACGACGCAAACGTGCTCAGGATGCACTCAGGACAGATCGGACATTGCAGTAAATCAGAGGTAAAAAACGATATAAATACTGTTCGGTTTCTTGCACAGAACGATCGTTTCATGTCTTTACACATCAATGTATCATCACGAGCCGCAGGGTTTAATTTGGTTTTGTTTGTGTATGTTTTTTTGACTCTCAAAGCCGTGATTCCCATTCACCTCCATTATATGACTGACAGACTGCAACGGTTTGAGTTAAACATCTTTGTTTGTGTTCTACTGAAGAAACAAAGTCACCTACATCTTGGATGCCCTGGGGGTAAGCAGATAAACATCAAATTTTCATTTTTGGATGAACTATCCCTTTAATTCAACTAGTCTTAACTTTCTCAGAAAGATTACATACATGTAAGTTCAATAAGTTATTGCATAACTTGCTTATTTTGGTACTTCAGTCATGCAGTATTAATTTTCTATAATTTTGTATTAACACATAAGTTAGATAAATCCAACTAGAATAAAATACTAGTACGCAGATCAATCATACTTAACGTTGTCATAAAACTCAACACATGAGACAAAAGAATTATATAAAAAAACACAATTAAAAATAAATTTAATAATTTAAAAAAAACAATTATTGAATAGGTATTTTAGAAATTATTTAAATAAGCCGGTCTGATCAATAACATAGTAACACAAGGGAGGTATAGGGGGACACACTTCAAGCAGGAATCGGACGGGGGCCACACCAGGCATTGTGGGATATTCTTCTACTTACTGACCGCCTCCTCCTCATCACTGGATGAAGAGCCAATAGAAAAGAGAGTTTTAGATTTGGGGAGCATGGGTGAGATGCTGAAGGAGAAGGAGATTCTTCGCTTGGGTCGCGGTTGTCCGATCGCTGGTGGGTTCCATGATCACATGAGCAAAAAAGATCAAAGCAGGCATTATAATAAAACTGGGTGCTAATACACTGGCAGTAAAATGTCCACTCCCTTAAAGTGACACCACAGTGAAAGGGAACCACGGGAGATCCACATCTGATGAGGTGAAGAATACCAACAATCCTAGTTGATACAGGACATTTTTGAAGTATAAAGACCCAGGACCCAGGACGTGAAATCGGGTGTTAGATATGACTGACAGGAAGTGAGTGGTCAGTGTGTGGTTATACATGACCGAATATTTCCACTACTAATCTTACCACAAGGGCATGGAAGAGACCAGCAAAGAAAAAAAACCCTCTGAACTCTGCAACAACTGATCTAAAAGCACTTTTGAAACTTATCAAATATATTTGAGCCTTTTTTAATGTATAAAATATGCTGTTGTCATTACAGTGCTGCAGAGCTCAGAGTGGCACAATGAGACATGAGTGAAAATTAAAGAGGTATTTATACTCACCATCTATGTCTTTGTGACTGATGGCCAACATGGAGACAGACTTGGTGAGAAAAGGTTGTGAATGTGGGACACATCTTCGTCCAGACTGGATGGACTTCTGAAAGCAGGAAACATGACAAATCAGTTTGGGTAATTAAATGCAATGAAATTAAAACTACTAAATCAGATATAACTCTTATATCACATTAGAACACATTGTAGTGTTTTTTTAGCCTTCTTTCCTTGGCATAAAGGAAGACAAATAATTTCATTTTCTTTCCAACTGTCATTATCACATGACTAACGGCGCTTTTCCACTGCATGGTATGGCTCGGTACGGTTCACTTTTGGGGGGTTTTCCACTGGGTACAGTACCTGGTACCTGGTACTTTTTTTAGTACCACCTATTTAAATCAACACAGCCAGCGAAGGATCGAACGCAACTGTTTTGAATGAGCAAAAAGTTAACAACCAAAAAGTGTCTGTTTCGTTGTCTGTTGAGGAAGTACAGACATTCCTCTCGTTGATAGCAGAGGAGTGGATCCAGCGAGCTTGATGGGGTGACGCAGAATGAAAAAAATTGTATACTATAACGCAACTATAACGACATGTGAATAATCCCGCCCACTCTAAAGCAGTACTGAACTGCAGTGGAAATGCAAACCGAGCCGTGCCGTGCCGTGCTGTGCCGTACTGAGCCGTGCCGAGTCGTAAAGCGCCATTACATACACGACGCAGAATGAAAAAAATTGTATACTATAACGCAACTATAACGACGTGAATAATCCCGCCCACTCTAAAGCAGTACTGAACTGCAGTGGAAATGCAAACCGAGCCGTGCCGTGCCGTGCTGTGCCGTACTGAGCCGTGCCGAGTCGTAAAGCGCCATTACATACATCATGAACATAGCGTCCATGATGTCATAGTCATTTATGGTGTTTTTGTGCTCTTTGGACCTTGACAGTGACCATAAACTGCTGCTGCATGTAAAAGAGATTCACAAATATTAAAGATTGTCATCTTTTTGGCTGAATTATATATAAATATTTACACAGTGCTGTTATAAAACAATGTTTAACAAAAAATATTTGTAATAATCATACAAATAACCACAATAAATACATATAAATAAAAAATTATATGATAAAATATTGAAAAAAAAATCTAGAATATATAGTTAATTTAAATGGTTTGAATAATATACTTACAAAACAAATAAAAATCTAAATGATATATTGAAATCAATGAAATTATAACATTAAAATTATAAAATTAAAATATCAAATATCAAAAAATTTAGTTTAAATGGTTTAAAATGAACCTACTAAAACTATAAATTTAAATAATATATTAATTTTAATGATATTATAATATATACAAATAATGCAATATTAAAGTAAAAAATTTAATATAGTTTAAATTGTTCAAGTTATATAGTCAGCTTTAATAGATTTTGTTACTTACTTCGATGATATAGATTTCAGCTGATATGGGGTGACAGGTGCGTGTGGTACAGTACTGATATGTGGTACAGTATATAGGCTTTTTGCAATGTCTGTGAATGCTGCACAACCAATCAGATTTTAGTGCTGGATTTATAAATAATACGTCACCTGACTGTCCAAACTGCTGTAGTCTCGCAGGTCTGATTCCTGTTCCTCTTCTGTCAGGGACACAAGAGAGCCTCTCTCTTCTCTGTCCAGCTTTGACGGACAGTTTGGTTCCTGGCTGGCCTCCCCCATGCACTGGTTAAGGCTTTTCCTTCCTTCCTTATCTGCTGCAAGTCCTTCCAGGCTGTAACTGTGAAAATAAGCATATTTGATTATGCTTGAATTTTATTGCGGTTCAGAGTTTAAAAAAAAAAAAAAATAATAAGTTGAGATGGTGACCACATGCACACAGAATCACCGAAGATCTTTAACCTTTTTTTTGGGTGACATTCAAGCACACGCTAGATGCAAATTCATTCAGATTTACATGCACAAAGACTCAAATGACAATGAGCAAAAAGTCTACTATCAAATGATAACAATACAGGCTTGACCTCAGTCTGTGAAAGTTGCAGATGACGAATCGTAATCCATTGACTCATGCTATACAACCAACCCTTGACATTTCCTCAAAGCAAAATCATTCAAGCTCTGCCACCGAAATGGTTAGCCATTTTCCACATTGTGCAAACTAAAGCAAAACTTCATACAGTGGCCTAAACAAGTATTTGGACACTAAAAAAAAAGTTTGAATGTCACTGAATTAAGTATCAAATCAAATCGCATATATTTTAAAGAAAATAGCCAAAGCCAATCAATTTAATAAAGGTTATTTGTTGGGTTTTAAATGATAATCATATAGCAAAAAAAAAAAAAAAAGACTACATATATTAGGACACACTCTGGTTTTCCAACATTATTAGTGTGTCAATCACATTATGAACTTAAAGGCAAGTGACTCATACATCCACTTTGAGATCACTAGGTTAAAATTAATTACAAAAATTACTCTGTTGTAAGTTGGTTCTGAAAAAGCATAATTTGTTTGCAGATGCCATCAGTCTCATTGAATGTTATGAAATTCAATTTAAAGCGCAATTATCCATATACATTTTGGGATGAGTATGTACAAACTACACGCTAAATATATTTTAAAATTATTTCAACTTATTAAAAACCTAAGTGCTGAGAGCAGCTCAACATAAGTGTGATGTGTTCTGAAATTCTTTCTAACAGGAAACACTTGAAAAGGTGACAATGTGGTTATATTTAAAAAAATAATAATAAAAACATCTCACCTCTCATCGGGTTTTGAGATCCAGATCAGTATGTTAGTCATAGTTCACATGAATTATTACCTGCTGTGATACTGTACTTTAGTCTACATCTCTAGCTAAACTAATTCATTTAAGTGGCCGGTTAGTCTCTGACTCAAAAACAGAGAAATCAACGGAAATGACTGCAAGAGTGCTTGTGGTCTCACATGTTTGTCCGGAGAGACGAGAAGACTAAACCATAGACAGGAAGTAGACTACTACACAAACACACAATGCACTATTTGAGAGCAGCTCAACATAAGTGTGATGTGTTCTGAAATTCTTTCTAACAGGAAACACTTGAAAAAGTGACAATGTGGTTATATTTAAAAAAAATAATAATAAAAACATCTCACCTCTCATCAGGTTTTGAGATCCAGATCAGTATGTTAGTCATAGTTCACATGAATTATTACCTGCTGTGATACTGTACTTTAGTCTACATCTCTAGCTAAACTAATTCATTTAAGTGGCCGGTTAGTCTCTGACTCAAAAACAGAGAAATCAACGGAAATGACTGCAAGAGTGCTTGTGGTCTCACATGTTTGTCCGGAGAGACGAGAAGACTAAACCATAGACAGGAAGTAGACTACTACACAAACACACAATGCACTATGAACACATATACACCACTGTCTTTACAACACACTTTTTGTGCTCCTATAATGCAATTAATGCTGTATCATACCACAAGATGTTTAAAGATTTTAGACACTTCCTCTTTGTCTTTCTTTACCTTCTTTCATTTATTTCGTCATTTTCTGAGCGCAGGACAACCGAAGGACACCAGCTCATGCTTCATGAAGTGCATAAGATGCAGGATGAATGGATGGATAGATAGAAGAAGGGATGTATAGAAAGACAAAACAGGAACTTGTTAGTAACAAGGTCTAAAAGAGGCCCTTGAACGTTTAACCGTTACGTATCTTTCTTGTATGCAACACCACACAAGGTTATTAGAGTTAACTAAAAAACTAAAAGTCAAAAACAATAAAATTAAGATGAAAACAGAAAAATATAAAAACAAATTCAAAATATTAATAATAACTATAATAGTATATCAAAGGAATTTATGGGATTTGATGGGATCTGTTTCCTGCTCATGCCTTTTGATTTTTTTTTCTCTCCCAATTTTTACATGGGCTGTTACAGAAAAGATTTGGTGGGGCCCCTGAGTGGAACAACTGAAAATAGATGGTAGTACCTTCTCCTATGGCCTGCAGACTTGTGTTCCACCTCACCACGTGTCGTACTGTAAAAAGTGATGGATGAAAATAATGATGAGAAGATGAATGACCAGAAATAATGAACCAAAATTAATATGAAGAGCTGATGAGATGATTGACAGCCTTAAGAATGTTCACTAGAATGATTAATGAAACATGAAGAAAACGGTTTTTGATGATACCAATGACTGATAATTATTCAATATAAATATTTATTCGATCATTTTTTTTTAATAGAATAAATTATTATAATCATCAATAGATTGTGGTTTGCTGCCCTTTTTGGTTTAAAATAAACCAAATATATATATATAAAAAAAAAAATATATATATATATATATTCACAAAAACTCACTTAATTTCCTCAACATAAATTGGCAAGGGACAAAAAGTTTACATTTAAAAGAGCACAACCATTATGTAAACCATGATGTTCCTTTTTTGTGTCTTAAGAGTATTAGAGGTCATCTGAGTGTTTATTTTCAGCAGGAATACAGTCTTGTGTGACCCAAATACAGCTCTTTCTCACAGAACAGCTGCCTGCTGACAAAGCCCACAGAGGAAAAGACCCTTACACTACTGGGATTTCCCTTCACAAACACAGTCACATACAGACTGTAAATGTTTCAGAGCTGTACACAAAGCTAAAGTAATGCCAAGATGATGAGACAAAAACCAAAACTGAGCAACTGCAAGTGTAAAATCAAATATAAAATGTATACTATGCATGTATATGATTGCATTATAAAGACAGACGCAATGAATGATTAAAGGGCAAGTGGGCGTAGGGATGCAGCGATTAACCGGTTTCTCAATTAACCGCGCTTTAAAATGTCACGGTTAATTAATCGTAAAGCCTCCGCTACACCGAGTGTTTCTGTTGCACACAACGGAACAGTTGCAACGTGCGCAAAACGAAAACAAAGTTACACTAGCTGTGCGCCAACTTAAAATACTACACACACTAGATTAACTATGACAGAGGAACCAGACAGCGATCCTTTATTTCCACCAGAGAAATGTCTGAAGTCGATAGTGTGGGACCATTTTGGGTACACCAAGAATGACCAGGGTGTCATTTAAATATTGCTGTAAAAACTGCTGCTAAAGAGCGAATACACGGCTTTAAACTATTTTAATGCACGACGTGAAGGCAATACTGAGCGAAGTTAGCTCAGTATTCTGCCCGCTTCAGATCAGACAGATTAAATAGTGTGGTAAGATCACATTTATTTGAATAATTAATTATAACATTTAGCTACTTGAATGAATTATTTGATCGAGAGAGAGGGAAAGTGAAGAGTGTGTGTGTGTGTGTGAACCTGCGTCAGCGCGTCTCTCTACAAACATGCAAGTTTAGTTACTTAAACAGTGATTTTACTCTCTCCTTACTGAATTGCTACATATTCATCAGCATCTAAGCTATTTTATTAATAAAAGTCACGGGGCAGGGTTCACAACAAGTTTGTGTCCTCGTGAATGTTTGTATGTGTGCGCAGCGCGATCTCTGATCTCACAAACCAAATATAGACATGATTTTCTCAGGCCACATGTAAAATCATAGGAATAGAAAATATTAAAATTAATACGTATGGATGACAGTTGATTACAATGATAGTTCAGTTTATTCCCCTCATTATTAATAGTTTCCCCTGTGGGGTAAATAAAGTTAATTGTCCTATATTAATAATACTTATTAACATTGTTATCTATAATCCCTTTTATAGTATTATGCATAAGTTAAGAAGCTAAGCATAGATTTTTTTTTTCATGTTTCCAGTTTTCTGCCTCAGGTCCAAAAGAAATGTAAAGAATGTACAAATTGAATTACACAAAGTGATCTATTTTCATTAGTTATTTTCAAAATGGAAATACTGACATGGATGTTTAGAGCAGAGGTCACCTTTTTAATTCCAATTGGAGAGATGGACTTTTGTTTGTCTTTATTATTATTATTATTTTGTGCTGTATTATTGGTTACTGTGTTATTTCACTTTCTAAAGGCAGCAATAAATAACACTTTATTATCTAAAGAGTGTCCATTTGATTTTATACATTAATAATTTTGTGAAACGAATAAATGCATAATAATCGTCATAATCGTGAAACCGTGATTATTTCTCAGACAATAATCGTACCAACAAAATCTATAATCGTTGCATCCCTAAGTGGGCGGTATATTGATAATAATACTTTGACCTTATTAGCAGACGATTTACAGGAAATGACACATTTATAAGAAAAAAAGTGACGAGCCATGTAGGCCAAGTTTGGGAACCCATACTCTAAATTTATCTACTGCTTTTAACCCATTTAACCCAAGTGCACACACACACAGCAGTGAGCAGTGAACACACACACACACACACACACACACACACACACACTGTGGGCATACACCCGAGCAGTGGAAAAACAAACTTTTACCAAATGTATTCTGGATTATTTTTATGTAGTATTTCTCTTATTTATAACATTGAGATATTTAATTTCACATATTAAATAACTGATTAGCCTATTATCGCTGGTAGCTTAGCTTAACGCTAATCAATTAGCATGCTATCTTAGCTCCCATTGCTACAAATTAAACTTAAAATGCTATATTTTAGTTATTTAGAAAAAGATAGTGGGACATCTCAATAGCTAAACAACAAGCCTGGTAGCTTAGCATACCTCTAGTCAATTAACGTTTTTGAACAGTCATTTCGAAGGTTACCTTTCAGTGTTCAAGGGGGTTTAGGATTCTCTCGTTTTGCACTACACTGGACTCCGTGCTGAAAAGGAGAGCTAAAACTAGCCTATTCAAGTTGGCTGGTCTTAGCTAGTTTAAGATGGTCATTGTGGTCTCTAGGTGGTCTAAGGTGGTCTAAGACCAGCCTGCAAACCAGCAAAGATCAGCTTGAAGACCAGCTAAAACCATCCAACGGTTTCAGTTTTTTTTAAATACCTTGGATTTAATCCCAAAAACGTTTGTTTTTAGTGGTGGAGATTACCTGCGTTGACTAATCTCCGTCTCCCCCACTGAATTTTTGCCGGGGCCCCAACTGTGCCTGCGTAAAGGGGACAGGGATCGTATGGAGGTACGTAAAATGGCTGACCGCTCCAGGACCTCTGTCAAGTGGTCCTTTTTCTCTTCCTCCTCTATTTCTCCTGAAACAGGTGAAGCTCCAGGAGATGTGGGGTTTTCCTGACAGGGGTCTGATGTAGGAGCTTCTGTGCTGGCCTGAGAGATGGCGCTAGGGGTCCCGAGGCTGGAGGTGTCGTCTGTGGAGGATGAGTAGGACATGGACACACCGCTGGTGACTGTGATGCTGTCCTCAGCCTTTGATGGAGAAAGTGGAGGAGAATTGGATGGAGTTTGCAAAAACAAAATTACATTTGATGTTTGGTGACAACTAGGAGGACTGGGATTTTGGAACAACTTCCCAACCTGACGGAGCAAAAATGGCACATTATGCCTGGTTAAGACAAGCACATGTGTAGTCTGCAAAAGACCGCTGATGACGTACCACCTTTACATCTGCAGTTTACATACAGGCAGACTCATTTTTTCTTTCTTTCTGCAAACCCCATGGAGTCTCAGAGTTCTTTCCATCCTTGTAAAGTTTACATAACATAAAAACACACAGCTCTGACATTCATTTCCATTCACAGCGGCTCATTAGTTTCCTCATATGCTGAGACCGCAGCCAAGCAAGGGGTGCGGTGAGCTAGCGGCTACATTACACTAACCGTAATAGATGACTTTATGAGCTACGGAGGGTGAAAAAAAGACTTCCAGAACACAAGTCAAGCTTAGGTGAAGTGACTCTACCTGCTTTCGGAGCTAGGAGAAAATGTAAGCATGCTACGGGAAATTCCACGTACAATTCCAGGAGAAAAAGTAAGCTAATCTTAATGCAAGCTTCCTACAAATTTTTATGTGATGACATTTTGTTAAAAGAGGTATTTAAAATTGTTTTGCAAAACAAAAAAAAATCATTGTATCTTCAATTTGGGTGCAACCTATTTGGTCAGCCATTTAGCTTTGTATACTGCTAGCTGCTTAGCCTGCTCTCTCAGTATACCACTAGCCAATTAGCCTGCTCTCTCAGAATACAGCTAGCCAATTAGCCTGCTCTCTCAGAATACAGCTAGCCAATTAGCCTGCTCTCTCAGAATACTGCTAGCCAATTAGCCTGCACTCTCAGAATACAGCTAGCCAATTAGCCTGCTCTCTCAGAATACTGCTAGCCAATTAGCCTGCACTCTCAGAATACAGCTAGCCAATTAGCCTGCTCTCTCAGCATAGCGCTAACTGATTAGCCTACTCTTTTAGCATGATGCTAGTGGATTAGCCTATTCACTTAGCACGCCACTAGCTGATTAGCCTACTTTCTTAGCATGCCACTAGCCAATTAGACTGCTCTCTCAACATACTGCTAGCTGATTAGCCTGGTAGCTTAACTTAAGCTGCATCCCAAATGATACACTATGCACATATAAACTATGTACTCAACCATGTAGTGTATGAATTATATAAGGTTATTTTGTCATTCATAATCGGCGTCTGATAGCCCCTCTCCCTTCGCTACGTAATTAAAGTGTCCAACATTCCACGTTTCGTTTTTTCAGTTATTTAAGTGCATCATCTGGGTTTTAAAGTGCACTATTTCTTTTTGGAATTTTCTGTGTAAACGCACTACTCGCACTATTAATACTACAAAACATCATGGAATAGTGACTAAGACTATTCTGCATTTCAAAATTGGATTCTAACGAATTATGGCAGGATCTATGTACCTATCATCAAGGAAACAAAACACTACAGTCATCCTTCGCGACTTGCTAAGAGCAACACTTGCGTGTCAAAGTCTGTGTTAAACAACTTTAAATCAAAGCAAGGAGTTTAAGGGGTGGAGGAATCCACAGGGAAAATTGAGAAATTAGGATGAAGCATGTCTGAGGATGAGGTCATAATTGTGGCCTTGGCCCACTGATCTGCTCACGTCACATGACGTGACGTCAGTGGAGCAAGATGTTGTGTGTAGAGGAGCACCGCTGAAAATGAGACATATTACATAACTGCTTTATCTGGCCAAAGCACAAGCAAGGGGTTCTTCACATGGTAAAGAGACATAGAAACAAAGCAAATAGCAAAAACAAACAGAATTGGATGATATTGGAAACGCAACACAACCCCCGGACACACCTTATTATTAAAAATGCTGTCCTCGCTCAAATCCTGGCTAAACAGAGAGTCACCATCGCTGGCGGACCCTCGCATGGTGCTCGCTGACTCTTTGTGATGTACAGTCTCGGGTGAGGGGGTCGAAGGGGGGAATTCTGAAAAAAGAATCAGAAAAGCATGAGAAAGTCGAAGAGCAACAGAAGAACAATAAATAGAAAAGAAAACACACCAGACTCCAGCGAACTGAATCAATATACAGCGAGTCTGAAAGTGACTAATTTCAGTCCATTTTGTTGCATTTCTGCTCACAATCATCGCAGACAGGATGTTGATGTCATCTACTTAAATAGATCATCTTATTTGACTAGTGGAGTCTTTTGTATTGACAGGAAGACATTCATTTAGTCTTTGGAGGATGTGAATGTCGTTTCCCATGCAACACAATGTGGGCACTATTTAGATTGGACACACACAGACACAAAGTCTGAGCAAAGAGGGCATCCTTTCTTTGTAGTGTGCTGGAAGACGTATAAAAGAGGTTGTGTGTTTTGTTCTGGATGTAACTTTTAACCATCGACTAGACCTATGTGACGCAATGTTGTTTTGTTGACGTCAAATGCCATACATCAGATTCTGTGGTATTTCACTGTAAATTCATGCATCACTTGGAAGAAGCTAGAGAAACCACGTAGATGCCAACATGGACATCCTCAAAAACCATAAAACATTTGGGTTTCCACTTGATATGCAAAGTCAGGGTTTTGAAGCCAAACCGGTTTAAAAGCAGTGATTTAAGAGTCATGTTGGTTACCTGAAATCACTGAAGTGGATTTCTTCTCCTGGAGTCCAGCATCTTGACTGGCATCAACTGAATAAAATGTCTCCGTCTCTCTGTGGATCTGCAATGACAAAATCAGTCTAGTTTAGAGTTTCATTTAATGTACAAAATAACTATTTCATATACAAATCAGACCATTTTCAATTTGATTGTGTACGTTCTGATCTTAAAATGTCTATATCCATCATATAAAAATGCTTGTTACATGTTTAAAACCAAGAAAGAAGAAAACAAATAAATATCAAGGTACAGACTGTTAACAATTTTTTTTTTTATTCTGCATCACTGCAAATAAATTATGCATATATAGCATGTTAGCTATGAACTTATAATACCATGATTCCACCATTTTATTACTAAATTGTTTAAAATGTCATTTTCACCACTGTTATTCTATCACAAAATCAAAATAAAACAATTACATTGGGATGTGGTGGATGTCTAGAGCCCAGAGCTGAAAAAAATAAACATCTGTATTTTCTCAGGTTCTCTCATCTGCTAAAGACTACTAGAATCCAGCAGGACATACTGATGCATCAGGTGAAAGATGGTTTCCTCTGCTACCTAAACTCAGGACAAGTATGTCAATGGTTTTGTCTTGGATGCCTAAAGAATTTTCCTTATTTTTTTTTTTTTATTCTGCATCACTGCAAATAAATTATGCATATATAGCATGTTAGCTATGAACTTATAATACCAAGACAATGATTCCACCATTTTATTACTAAATTGTTTAAAATGTCATTTTCACCACTGTTATTCTATCACAAAATCAAAATAAAACAATTAAATTGGGATGTGGTGGATGTCTAGAGCCCAGAGCTGAAAAAAATAAACATCTGTATTTTCTCAGGTTCTCTCATCTGCTAAAGACTACTAGAATCCAGCAGGACATACTGATGCATCAGGTGAAAGATGGTTTCCTCTGCTACCTAAACTCAGGACAAGTATGTCAATGGTTTTGTCTTGGATGCCTAAAGAATTTTCCTTCGACCACAGAATTCACTTTCTTGATGAAGAAAGGCTAGGGTTGCCAGCTTCAGAAAATGTAAATACGGGACAATCTCCTTAGGTTAATCTCCAAGGTTAAGAATTATGCTATTAGTTACTTAAATATAAAATGTTTTTTCTCTATTTAACAACATTACAATAGTGAAAGACGACTTCCCTTACTGATCACATCTCTTGCGCGGCGGTATGTTGGACTCATGAAAAATAACAACATAGTTTGTATTCACCAAAACTGATTTACTGAAGTGAAAACACAGATGGAATTGGCGTTAGCGCGAGCGCCGCTTGCTGTGAGGCGGGAGTGCCGAGCCGGCAGAGGATTCCGCAGCCTTCCTCGAACAGTTATGTTCACGATTTCTGATTTACTTAATGTATACTGTGTGAGGGGGGGTGTGATTGGATGATGACAGGTATCGGTGATCATTCTCAAGTGATCAGCACTGCTGCTGTTGTATCAGTCAGTGGTTAGATCAGCATAGCAGTCAAAAAACGGGACAAGGGAAGTCACATACGGGACAAATCAATTAGGCCCAAAATACGGGATGTCCCGGCTAATACGGGACGGTTGGCAACCCTAAGAAAGGCACTCATGAACAGAAATATTAGCACTGGTAAGAACATCTACCTCCTGAGAGTAACATGTGGTTGGAAACCCTCAAGGCTGTGATTTGGGGCAGAAAGGGTTTATGGGGGCATGTGTGGGTGTTCAGAACAGACCTGGAGAGGAATGTGACCCACATATAAACATCATGGCCCACTAACATTCGACACAGAGCAGCTGTGAATGGGCTGTAGAGGGTTACCTTAAGGCTACTGCAAGGACGAATTGGTCACCATATACTTTTCATTTATCAATCTTAAGGCCTATGCACACCATATTCAGAGAAAAACATATATATAAATACAATAAAATAACAAAATAATAAAATTTGAGATTTTTATAAATTAACAATATATATCAAAGAAAAGCTACAACACCAGCTGTAAAGTAGCATAGAAAGATCAAAAGACCATGAAAAGGAAGAATGTTGCTGTGGCGGAAACAGAAGCTTAGAAACCTTCCTGTGCAGCTCATCTGTATGACCATCATCAGCTCCATTCATGACTGATTATACCCAACCACCGCCCACCATGAGCATGTGACACATGCTGAACTCCCATGCTTAGCGTGTACCCACTGTGTGCATGCACGTGTGTCAGTGTGGCTGCTGGTCATAGGCCTCCTTTGTTTGGTCATTGGTGGACGGACACTGGTCTAGTGTGGCCAGCAGGAGGGGCGTGGATTTTTTTCAATAGAGCCGTCAACAGCTGTGGCCTTTTAACTCACAGAGAGAGAGAGAGAGAGAGGGATGGAGAGAATGAGAAATAAATACTGAAAAAAAATAATAAAATGGGGGAATGGCTGGTTGAATTGGTTCTCTGAGCTGTGATCTTTATGTCAGAGCTGCAGGTTCAAATCCAGCCTTCAACGTGCCCCAACTCCATTTCCTCCATTTCTCAATATTAATTTTAAGACCCTACAAAAAGTAGCAAAAGCCCAAGAAAAAAAAATATCCTAAAAATAATAAAAACTAAACAGACAACTAACTGGAAAAGACAGCAACAAATCAAACATACAAACAAACAAATGTAAATAAAAACTAAGTTGACAACTAACTGTAAAGATCAAACTAAAATAAGATGAAACAAAAAATCCCCCCCCAAAAACAAACAAAAACTAAACTAAATGAAAACAAAAAAAAAACATCTAATAAACAAATCAAACATACAAAAAAGCTCAAACTAAACACAAAAAAAGGAAAACAACAACAAAAATTTAATGAAAACAAAAAACAACAACAAAAACAAATTAAAACAAACAAAAGAAAAAAAACTAAACAAAAACTAAACCGACAACTACATGAAAACAAAACAAATAATAAATGGGTTATATACACACAAAATAGGTTGAAATTGTCAGGTGACTTTTTTATTTTATTTTATTTTATTTTTGCCACTTTTATTTGAGAGGATAGAAAAAGGTGAGGGGATGGGATCAGTAAATGACACCAGCTGGATTCAAACACTGGTCATGTGCCAAAGTGCCACCGCATGCCATCATGGCATCATGAATAGTGATTCAGGTCTGTAATGTTTCACTGCTGTTCATGACAACATGTCATTCCCAACCACAGTAGGTTCTGACAGGATCCAAACAGCACTGAGAGACTAACACCAGCTGAAACTTAGACATGCATGTTATGTTTACATATCGCAGAACAGGCATCAACCTCAATCTGACAAAGAAACTCAAACAAAATCATACAAACACACAGAACACACACTGTCCCCAATCCTTCAATCTCTATTATGAATGATAAACATGCCTTTGCGTGGGAAAGCAAATGAAAAGCCTCAAGTACAGACAGAGCTCTCGGTTTCAGCCAATTAAACACAAGTCATCAACACTTATGGATGTGTGTATCTGGAAGTATATTACCAAAAGCACAAAAATGCGTTTATGTGAACAGATTTGCAGAGAACCAGAAGGCTAGCTGGGATACTGCTCAGATATTTTGTGTTAGTTTCACGGCTTGGTAATAATGGTAATGGCTGTAGCAGACACACACAGAAACACTTCCAACCAGACAGCGTTTAAACCAATTACTGAATGAGTCGTGAAAATCACTCCACAAGTGTGGCATATTGAGCCAATGTGCAGTAATGGAAAGATGTAATGCCTCATACTGACCGAATGCTCCACTGAGAGCACTTACATGTAAACACGCCATAGAGAGGAAACAGTCAGCCAAGAGTCCTGTTCTTTGATCATGACTGGTTTGATGAATTTTATGGATACACGTTTTAAGGATAACTTACAAAGAAATAAACCAAGCATAAAGGTTTGTCAGGCTAGCTATGTTAACACTTAACAGAGCAACATACCTGATTGATCAATCAATATGGACTTGTTTATAATGATCAATGCTCATCTCAAAAACAAGGTGCTGATATAATGCCAGTATATCAGTATGTCAGACATGATTATTTATTCCATAAGAAAAAAAGTGTCCAATAATATGGGGTTATAAAGAAAAAGTGATTAGTAGTTGACTGGTCATGTGGTCAATATGTCAGCTACCATAAGGCTACTAATATCACTGGATTTATCTTCTCATGGGACAATTTCACTATTAATACTATTAATGTTTTCTGTTTTAATAAGAAAACATATACATTGTTAAATTTAAACTTCTTTAAACATAACAAATAAGTAGAAACGGTGTGCATTATTAAGGCAGATCTATACAATACAGATAATCTCATTATACGGCCACACCAAATATAAATATTTGCCTTAATTAATAATAATATGATATGTGCTATATGTTTGTGTTTTACATTCTGCTGGCCAAAAATCAGCCTGGTCGATATGTTTTTCATTTTATAACTATTGCTGGCAGGCAGATTTGAGTTATGTAGGTTTATACATATCATTCAAAAGATTTTTTTTTTTTTAAGAAATTTATATTCAGCAAAGCAGCGTTAAATTGATCAAAAGTGGCAGTAATTATGTTCAAAATATTTCTATTTCAAATCAATGTTCTTTTGAATTTATAGTCATTAAAGAATCCTGAATAAGAATGGTTTCTTTTGTAGCACCAAATCAGCATAAATTACATTTCATATTATATTAAAATAGAACAGTTGTATTACAATATTACAAAATATTACTGTTTTTACTTTATTTTTAATCAAATTAATGCAGCTTTTGTGAGCATAAAAGACTTCATGAAATCTTACCAACCCCAACTTTTTGAACAGCAGTTTGTTATTCTGAAACTTCACTGTCAACCCACATTCAGAAAACGAGACCCAGCTCTTTTCTGACTGGCATGTGTGTGAAAACACACACAAAAATAAAGCACATGGCATACTATTATAGCACATATATACGTTTGGTGTGGCCTACTGAAAAAAGATAGACGTTCTTGTGTTATTGCAACTCAAGGCAGCCCAAGACTCTCCACTGGGATTCTGCCTGTAACAAGTGTGCTTTGGATAAAAGCT